GTTCAGACATGATAAAGAAAACCAGTAGTACATGCAAAGCTAAGGTTAAAAAAAACTCTCACAAATAGCTCATTTGGATCATGATTAAACAAAACAAATTAATTTTTAGTTTTAGAAGTACTATACACATCGCTGAAACAGGACAGGAGGCTATCTTCAAGGCTCAGGCTATTTCAGAAATTCCCTACTCAAAAAAAACGGTGGCAGATTATTCTTGAATATGAATGTGACTTATTCTTACAAAATAGAATAGCTACATTTGACTATCAGCATATGCCTTGAAAGAGATGTTCAGTTATTTTACAAGCTAGTACTGAGGTTACAGTAAAGTTACCACAGCCTTTAATTTCCATCAGCAGATCAAGTATAGACAGAATCTCATTGATTCCAGTAAGATGCACATTTCATGTGCTGTTTCAAGGTTGTTTTCCCATTCACTTAACAAAAGATATTGCTGACTCTAGCTACATTTGTCAGAAAAAAAAAAAAAAAAAAGTGAAGCCAATATTGACCACATTTTATGCTACTTTCAATAAATTAGCAATGACAGGTGCTACTCTAGTATGCAAACTAATAGCAGTCATACCAAGTAATTATTTTTCATTCTGCATAAGAAGAATCTGAACAGATCTGTTACACAAAAAGCTGTTGGCTCTTTTCCCGCAGCTCAAACATTGCTGAAGTATGCTTAACAAAGCTGGATAATGAACAGACTAAACAAAACCAGCTGACCAGTGTGCCATCTCTAGTAAAGGGATACACAGACTTTGCACAAAATCCAGGTGCATTCATTCACCATTCTTTGCAGGATCTTTCTTTGAAACAAAAAGGAACTCACACAGTTCTTTCAGAGTTTGCCCACTGAAAACATATTTAATGATGCATGCAGCACAAAGGCCAAAACCATATAATACTTTTTAATATACAGAACTTTCACAACACTTCAAACTTCTTGATGGGGAACACCTAAGCCATGCAAATTAAGTGTGGACTTCCTGCTTTATTGCAGCTCAGCTGTCACCCAGCTGCAGGTATGAGATGCACAGGAAGGAGAGAGGTGGATGAAGTCTGAAGTAAGAACTTGCACTGGAAGGACAAGCACACATTTTGCTCATACAAGCTGGCAGAGGGTTACTCCAGTTTCACCCTCAAAAAAAACAAAAAATCATACAGGCAAAGGAAATTCTGATGTCAAGCTAAGAATCTCTACAATACTACCTGCTAACTGGCTTGTCTTTGACTTTCATGGGCAGCTACAGATTTCCAGCTGCAAAATGCTGGCTATCTTCTCTCATTATAAAGCTCTCCTACATCACCCAAAAGCAAGATGCAACATCCTTTACCAAAGAGCTAACATCAGCCCTTTGACATTATGCTTCTATGTTCAGAGGTGTTTTTACAAGCAGCAACAGCATGCACAAGCCACGCCCACACATCCCCCCAGCACTCACCTTTGCTGAAACGGAAGAGATTTACAAAAGAACTGTAAGCTGATTTAAAAGGAGGCTCGTCCTGGTCAGGAGTCAGGGGTTTGAAGTGAGTGAGATGAGATGGACTGCTGGGAGAACGAGGTAGATCACTGGTAGAGTCCAGTGTTGGAGAGCGTTTGTCATCTGCAGCCATTTCAGGTGCCCTGGAAAGAGGTCAGCAACACACATTACACAAGGGCTGGTGAAACAGAACCTCGTCGGTCTTCTGAACAGGAGGTGTCTCATTAGATCCCAGAGGACACACATCCACATACCTGACCACAGGCATCTGCTATTAGCACAGATCAAGAATCCCAGAGGAGCCCATGCCCCCTGCCCAGCCACTGACAAGAGAGCAGCACCTCTGCAGAGCATAATCCAGAGTGCCTAGTTAAACATCCAGAGCAACAAACCAAACAACCACCACACTGATCACACTCTGCAGTAGATGTTTATGAGAACTCAAAGTTTTCAAATGGAGACTCTGCAAGCACATCACAAAGAAGTTTTAGCTTTGACAGCTCTTCTCCTAATGCTGTGACTTCTGAAGCCCTTGTAACAAAACTGAAAACAGGCATGCCTGAGCAAGCACAAGGCAGAGTTGTTGTTCAGCCAGATTAACTTCAGAATGAGAAGTAGAATGAACTACAAACAAAAACAGGACTGAAATACTAATTTTGGTGGGAAACTGTTTCCCTCCCCTCTGCATTACAATACAGGCCCCTGTGAAAGTTAGCAGGGAAGCAACCCAAACTGTGGTTTACTTGTTGTCAAATCTAACACCTTCAAACATCCTTGTTTTCAGGAGCAGCTCCGTTTAAGAAAAACAAGCAAAAATCCCAAACCACTTTCTGTACAAGGAGAAGCCATATTTCTAAACCCTATTTTCTGCATACCAAAGCTTCTATACAGCCAAGAGTCATACTTTTTCTCAACCTATACTCTTTAAGCTGATCAGACACCCAATTTCTTTCACAACACCTCACTCAGCCTGCATTTCTAGCCTGCTAGGCTAAGGTGCTTACTACCTTAATCTTTGTTTAAGCAAAATTTAGTGAAATGTTTGACAGAGTAGGAACACAGGGAGCTAATGAAACCTCTGAGTGATGGCTGATTTTTACCTGTGCTGATGATCAAAACCCTTTATGACCCTACTTCCTGCTTAGCAGCTGATACACACTTCTTCATGAAATAAGGATTTCCAGTTCCCACAATTGTTCCCTAGAACATACAGGCATATATTGCTGACTAGAATATTTTCTTCCAAGTTTCAAGAAGTCACACTGAAAGAAATCTGTGCAGTCCAGAGAAAATCAATGTGATCAGCAAGTGACACTGAAAGTGCTAACAAGCTGCAGGCAGCTCCTGTGGCAAGGTTTGACTATTCCTACAAAGAATGCCAAAAAGATGTATCTGCAAGTCATTCACATGACTTCTCAGTGGACTTCAGCTTATTGCTCTATACAGTAAGCACCTTCAGCTCAGAGTTTCTTTTGCTATTCACATGTCCTTTTCTTCACTGAAAAGAAAGCACAGAGGCATCATTTACTAATTTCAAGCAAAACTTTGTTCAGGTTCTTTATGTCTTAGTCTTCCACATCCCTCTACCCTGTAAATCAGGGTATGTTGTTTGGTTGTTCATTTCGCCAGGATTAATCAAACAGGTGATTTGAATATACTTAAACACGAGAGTTCATGGAACATTTTCCTTGAAACACACTCTTCAGGTAAATTTGGAACTGTTTCTTCAATCCTAAGGCAAATAATACTTTGCTTTTTAAATGCTGAACATGCAACAAGGGTGTACCTTCACACACGCTGCCACATTGAACATCCCATTATGAAGTTAAAGAGTTTTGGAGGAAACTATGTTCATATTTCTGCAACTGACAATAGCCCAGTAAGATAAGAGTTACAAGCAAGTCATTGAATATGCATTAAATACATATGTGATCATATTTTCCCCTTGCATTTCAAGGGGAAAAAGAACCATAATAACTGTTTCTGTCACAGCAGCATTGGTTTAATTATAACTATTGAAAATAATAGCAATATACCAGGCATTAGCTCCAGAAACTCCTAGATTTTCTGTACCGTACAACACACTAGCTGTGGAATCTATCAGACTTTCTATGCTTTAGCTGTCCCACTAAAGGGAAAATATTCCCGCCATCCCACCACAAGAAACCAAGAAATAGTCACTTCTTTGTATAATATGGGAAAGGAGGAACCAAGGTGCACATACCGACCAGAGTACATTCCTCGCAGGATCCTCACCAACAGCAACGGGGAATGTATCTAAACCCACTCGAAGCTGCAGCCTCAGCAATCACCAACTCATCACGGATAAAACACGGAGTACGGGGTGGCTGTGAGCCTCCCTCTCACACGCACCGCCGGGACATCCTGCGTCCCACAGCACTGACCACAATGCCAGGGCCAGGAGGATACGGCCGCTCCTTACACACACACGGCTCCGGGCACCTGGATAACACAGCCGACTGCAAAACCACCCCAATTCAAACATAACTGCGTGACACACACGCTCCCTCTCTGGAGGGACACCGCCGCCTCCCCTCGCCTGGGGCGGCAGACCCGCAGATCGCCCGCGACGGGACGGCGCGGACGCGGTGGGCAGCGAGCCCCGGAGAGCTGACGCCGGCGCCACCGGGGGCCGGCCCGGGCAGCGCCGAGAAGGCTCGCGGAACAAGGGGCTCGCGGAACAAGGGGCCCGCTGCGCTCACCTGCTGCCGGGCTGCGCTCACCTGCTGCCGGGCTGCGCTCACCTGCTGCCGGGCTGCGCTCAGCCGCGGCCCCGGCGGGCTGCGCGCACCGGCCGCCCGCAGTGCCGGCGCTGGGGCGGCACCGCCGCTCCTCCCTCACCGCCCGGCCGGTAGCGCCGCCAGCCCCGACCAACCGCCCGCCAACCACGCCGCTCCCGCCAGGCATCGCCAATCGAAGCTCCGCGCACTCCACCCGCCGGCAGCGCCCGGCCCCGCCCCGCGGCCGCTGGCGGCAGCTCCGCCCGGGCGCGGCACACCCGGGCTGCCGCCTCGGGAGCCGTGGCGCTGCCGCCGGCCGGCGTGTCTCCTGGGAAGTCGGCGTACACCGTATTTCATTAACATTCCCTTCTCTCTATTTCCGCCCCGAGATTCCTCCCTGGCCACACTCCCCGCCTCGCTCCAGCCTCAGAGAGCTGCCCGCTGCTGCCCCCAGGGCCGTGGTGTCGACACCGCCGCCCCAGCGCCAGCGGACGAGCCCACGCCTGCTGTGGGTACCGCATCCCCGGGCTGGGTTGCGGCGCTATCCCTGGGCCACGCCCGATCCCCCGGAGCCAGCGGGCTCCCTGTGCCGGCGGGCACTCACTGCGGGGTGGCGGAGCGCGGAACGGGCCCCGCCCGGAACAGCGGCCGCACGGTCCGACTGCCGCGGGCCGCTCGCACGGGGCCGGCCTCGCGCCGCCGCCGGTGGGAGAGGCGGCGCGCGGCCAGCAGGGGGCGCCGCGGCGGCGGCGGGGCGGGCGGGGCGGGGGCGCGGCCGCATAAAGGGCCCCGCGCAGGGCCCGGCCCCGCATCGGCCCCGCACCGCCGCACGGAACGGAACGGAACGGACCGGCCTGCAGGTAAAGGGCTCCGACACCGCCCCGGCGCGCTGCGGCGGCCGCACGGTACCCTTTGTGCTTTCTCTGCCGGGGGCGGCGCCCCGCAGCGGGTCCCCCAAGGCCGGGGTTGTGTTTAAGGGCTTTTTCCCTCGGTGAGGGCGGGACCCTGCAGCCGCGGTCCGCCCGCAGCGAGTGTCGCTGAGGCGCTGAGGGTGCTGCACCCCGGGGTCGCCTGCCCTGTACTGGGCTAGGCTATCTCCCCACGTAGTCCTCGGGTCTCCCGCTGGCCGCTGCTGTCCCTGGTGGGAGCCGGCCTCGGGGCGCTCGCCTGTCCCTCCTGTTCGGGGAGCGGCCGTGCCCGTACCGGGATTTCAGCCTCGGCCGTGGCTGCTGCCCGCGGCCCTGGCAAAATCCCCCGTGTGCCACCAGGTCGCCTTGTCAGGGGTGAGTGCAGCCGAGAGCTCGGTTGGTGCCAGCCACCCGCTCCGTGCCCCCTGCGAGCCGCCTCCTCCCGGGAGAGCAGCTGTACACCGGAGTTACGGGCTTGCTGCAATAGTTAATTATTGCCCCTAGGCCCCGAGCCCTTCCGCGGGACACAGAGGTATTTGGCAATAGATGGCTTCTTCTGAGTTGCCTTGGCTGTGTGCCTGGGTTAAGTGTATTTAAAGAAGAGCTGCTGCTCTCTAGGAGAGAGACCATGCTGGATTTAGGCGGTTCAGTATAAAATCAGAGGGCAGGAGTGACAGAGTTGAACTCTAGGGAATGTGCTCTCTAGAAGAGCCTCTCGGCATGTTGGCTGGTGTGCAGAAAAAGGGTGCTACTGCAGTACTGCCCCAGTTCATAGAGAAACTGAGGACACTGGTGACTGAGGAGGGGAAAAGTGCCAGTACCTGGGCCAAGATCACGTAAACATGTTGGATGCTGTCAGAGTCGTTGAAGAAGCTGCTGTTCCCACGCATCAGTAGAGGTGTGTTTCAGCTGCCTTTTGTTCTCTGCGTGACAACGTTCTGAAGCCAAACCGATTGCTATGACTGACCTAGTCTGATTTTTCTTAGTTAAGTGGAACCAAATCACAAAACAAGCACTGTTTTCTGGGTTTGTACCTGTCTACGTTTTTACTTAAATGAATCAGACTCTTTCTCAGATAGTGCCAAAAGCAAAATTGAACTCTCCAAGAGTAGTAATTCTATGCCTAGGTCATGGACTATGATATGGACCTTATTATTTAGATAGTCACAATTGAATATTGGGTTCAAAATACTTGCATAAGTAAACTGATTTCAGATAGAGTGAGGTCATGTGAAGTTCAGGTTCTCCTTGAGGACTAGAGAGGCCAAGGTACTGTTTGTGTTAGGGATAGAAATGCCTGAAGTGGTTTGTCTTCTAAACTGAGTCTCAGTAACACAACCTTATTTTACTTTTTCTTTTTTTTTTTTTTTGGGGGGGGGGGGTATTGTGTTATTTTTTGGGTGGGATTTTGGTTTGGGGTTTTTTTTGGGGGGGTGTCTTTTTTGGTGGTTTGTTTTTTTTGTTTTTTTTTTTTTTTTTAGTTTTTTCACTTTAAAATGTTTGGAAAAGCTTGATCCTGTGAACATAGCTTAGAAAGTTTACTCTCTTCCCAGACTAAAATTGTCTAATAGATTGGATTTTGGAAATGCAGCACAAGTTATTTTAATTTAAAAAAATAATTAACCTTGGGACACTGTTCCAACATGCTTTGTAATGTGAGGCCCTTGCTCTGCAAGCCTCACACCTCAGAATGACTTGGCCTAGATGTACAGATCCTGTGTACAGTAGGACCCTTCATTCTGGATCAAGTCATTCCTGGCCCTTGGTCTTGCTCTGTCACTGTAGTATCCCAGCAGCTGCACAGGAGTGTCTGGAAGGAGGAACTTGCCAAGTCATAGCTCTTGCATAATCGGAGCCCAGACCCGAGAAACTGTGGCTGTTGGAAAGAAGGGCACTTTAGAGCACTTCAGTGCCTTCTGAGGTTGCCTTGACAAAGTGCAAATAGAAGGGCAAAGTTCAAGTGGGTTTTTTTTTAGGCTTTGTTCACAAATATCTTGGAAAACCTCTGTTCCCTGCAGCAAACAAATCTGTCCAGTATTTATTTTAACTGTAGAAATAAAGAGACAATACTCTTGATGTGTAGCCCTTGGCTTTTTCTACCTGTTTCCTTCCTTCCTGGGGGACAAAGTTAGTAAAGAAGCTCACAATATATTAATTTTAGTCGTTTCAGCAGTATGAGCTGTCATTGTAATAATGTCCATTAACCCCTGATTTTCAGAAAAAGGTGGAGAAACAGAGAACTGGACTAGAACTTACGAAATCTAAAAGTAAACAGTGCTAATCTATTTCTGTGGAATTTGGGAGAAGAATTTGGATGTATTTTTTAATTTTTTGATACATTCATAATTAAAGCCCATGCCCTTAATTGTCAAGAAATTAACCTTTCTTTTTATCCTCTCATAGATCTCTCTAGGAGCTGGGGCTTTAAGGAAAATCCATGTAGCATAAAACTAAGGATAAACTGAAGTTCTTTTCAGGACTTTTTGGAGAGATCCTGTATGCTATGTTACTGCCTTGCCTAGTTATGTTGTAAAAATGCAGGATGCATCCATTGGTAGCTTTTTACTTAGGTTGTATTTTTTTATGTCTATTGCAGTTCAAGATGTCTAAAAAAATCCATGGAGGCTCCGTTGTGGAGATGCAAGGAGATGAAATGACACGGGTCATCTGGGAACTGATTAAAGAAAAGCTGATTTTTCCTTATGTAGATCTGGATTTGCACAGGTAATGACTCTGTGTGACATTCAGTTGCTTTGTGCTGAGGTTTGCATGTGTCAGTAGGTGTTGATGGATTTTCATTCAGCACGGGAAGCATGCCCTCCCAGGTTCCTCACAGCAGTAAGCAGTGCATGCTGAATTGTGAGTTAGCGTTTTGCCTGTACTGTGCCCCTAAGAAAGGCTCTCAGATGTGGCCTGTATTTTGATCTCCAGTGTCTTGGGGTTTCCAGCACCTGGGCAGTCTGCATGACTCCCTGCAGCCTAAACAGTGAAAAGAAACATGGGCTGTTTCAGCCACTCTATGACTTGAAGCATAGTATCCTGCACCCCTGAGTGGGCTTATGGCTTCTTGCAGTGCCTGTTTGAAGATCTGCCCAGAGGACAAAAGGGTGTGTGTAGGGCACAGATTCTACCCTGATGGCTGTGAGCCTGAGCTCTGCTGTTGGCAATGTGACCTAACTGTTGCAATTACTCCCTGAAGCTAGGCTGTGCTCCTTTACTCCCTTCTGGACAAAAACAAATACTAGCAGCTGGGAACAGCAAAAGAGACGTGCTATCTATAGCATCTGGCCAAGCAGAACAAACAATCTCTTCCTTTTCTGGCCACTGAGCTATAGTTATTAGAGAAGTATACAGCTACATTGCTCCTAGCCATGTGGACAGAGGCCTTCAGTGGTATCTGCCATAATTAAACTCACAAGTCTGATCTCTTCCCCTGACATTTGTATGGCGCCTACATCAGGCTTTCTGCTTGCTGGTGGTGGGAACCAGGCAGACTGGAACCCAGCAGCATAATACATGCACACAGTGTGGAGAGCATCCCTTTTCAAAGAGGGCGGAAGGAGGGCAAGCAAACCCCTGGCTGAGGCAGCACAATGGCTGGATTCATATACAGCTGGCCATGCTTCAGGCATGTCCCATGCTGGGCACCCATTGTTCTCCAAAAGCTATTAAAACAGTGAGTATGGAAATGACCTTCCTCTGATGTTTGAGAGGAATATTGGCAGTTTTGCTGCCAGAGCAGGATTGTGGGTCCATTGTCAAGGCAGTTTTTAAGTGTAGTATAGCTTCATGTGCTCAGTACATGAAGGAACCCAGAGCCTTCAGCACAAGAGGTTTGAAATAAAGGTTCATATTCATCTGAGGCTTTTGCTGCTCCATACAATTTAAACCCTCAGCTGACAGGTGCCAGTTGTAGGAAGCTCAAAAGGCAAAGCAGAGGAGATACTGTCCCATGCTGGCAGCAAACCTTAGCCATAAACTGAAGCTCTCCTTTCTCTAATCTCCTACCAACCTCCACTAAAAGGAAAAAATGTCATTGTATTAGTCTGTTTTCTTCCAGTCCAGCAGCATTTGCACTGGAAGAGGGATAATTTCAGTTGTGGCACAAGCACATATGGTGTCTTGGTTTTTTCCTGTTGAACACTTACAAATGTCCTGGGAAGTCCTGACCATGTGTGTGGGTTTGCTACAGCTATGACTTGGGCATTGAGCATCGTGATGCTACAAGTGATAAAGTAACTATGGAAGCTGCTGAAGCCATAAAGAAATACAACGTTGGCATAAAGTGTGCAACTATCACTCCTGATGAGAAGAGAGTGGAGGAGTTCAAGTTGAAGCAGATGTGGAAGTCTCCCAATGGCACAATTAGAAACATCCTAGGTGGCACTGTCTTCAGAGAGGCTATTATCTGCAAGAACATTCCCCGGCTGGTGTCTGGATGGGTGAAACCCATTGTCATCGGCCGTCACGCTTATGGGGATCAAGTGAGTCACCTCAGTGTTTACCCCTCTTTTTTGTGTTAACAGGCTTATTCCTGACTGGTATAGAGCTACGAAGACTTAGACATCCCTGTGCCCTTGTATTCCACCTGGGAGCACATACGTGCTAGCACTTTGTTTGTACTGCACCTGGCAAGTGTGGGAGACCTGGTTCATGCCTCTCTTCCTTGAGCAGTGTCACTGAATAAACAGCATTCAGAAACCTGCACTTGGATTGTATAGGCCTGTATTAGACACTTAACTCTGCTAGGTTATTGTTCTTCACCTCTCTAGAACACTTCTTCCTACATAAGAACAACTTGAGCAATACCCTTTACACTGCCCACCTTCTTGCTTTGCAGGAATTTCTGGTGTCAAATGTTGCTCACAGCAAAAATGGATAAAAGTGAGTGATTTCTAGAAGTGGGCAAAATTGCCTTCCATATGGGGGGGTGGTTTTGTTCTGTAATTTTTTTTTTTTTTTTTTTTACTGTGATCTGTTGCTTTAACTTGCACAGCACACCTGCAGAGTTGATGTCTGACCTGGGCGCATCAGGCTGTGGTACAGAAGTAGGGAAATCTCTTTTATCAAAACTCTCCTGATAATAGTACAAGGCTGTGGAAAGCCTGGAACGGTTCACAGGTTGTGCCCTTTGGTTAGCCTGGCAGATAAGAATCAGTCATACTGTTCTCCATGGGCAATCATATGCTATAAAGCTACCAAATATGGCAAAAGAAAAGTCTTCTACAAGAGCCAAGTGCTTAAATAGGTGGCTAGACCTGCAAACTGAGGGCAAATCATTAGATTACCTACTATAGGAAGGTAAAATAATAAATTTTCAAGAGGAAAACAATTGCAGAACCCTGACACTAGGAAATAATGGGATTCAACATCCCTAAAGGTTGTGAACAATTGAGGTCAAAATAATGGGAGACAGTGGATTAAAGGGGAAGGATTGAAACCCTGCAAAAAAACATAAAAAGGACGTAGGAGCGAGATACTAACTTCAGAACAGCTCAGGGAACAGATTTCCTTGGTAGGAGGGAAACTACATGAAAAAGAGTAACAAATTTCAGGGAAATGCAACCTTAAATAGTACCGTTCAGGACAATTGGGAAGATGAGGCATCATTTAAATACTTAATGTTTTTACTTCAAAGACTCTTACTACAGGTTGGCCTTTGAAATGTCATCTTGTATGATGTGTGAACCCTGTTACTTACAAGATCAGCAGTTGTAATATAAATGGCTTTTTTGAAGCCAGGAGAGGAGCCTGTCTTCTACCCACCTTTCTACCTACCAATCACACAACAGTCTAAATACACTGTACTTTAAAACTTCAGCGCATCTGCAAAAGTAGATACTCTGCCAATTGATGGGGCCCAAGAATCTGTGAGCTTTTTTCCCCTAAAGGGGAAGATTGCTTCTAAAACAGGCAGACTTTTGACTATTCAAGGATACAGTTTAGTGGTGTTCTTGGCAGTGCTGGGTTAGCTGCTGGACTTGATGATCTTAAGAGTCTTTTCCAGCCTGAGTGGTTCCATGACTTCTGTCTTTCTAATCTCTAGTAAAATAATCCAATGACAATATGGCTGAATAAAAAGTCTACTTTATGGGGTTTTTAGTACAACTGTTTTTCTGTAAACTACCCTCCCAAATGAGGACTGTCTTTTATGGTTCTCTCTTCCTGATAGATAAATTACCATGGCAATTCTTTTTTTTAACAGTACAGAGCAACCGATTTTGTGGTACCTGGGCCTGGAAAAGTAGAGATGACCTACACTCCCACAGATGGAGGCAAACCAGTCACATATCTGGTCCATAACTTTGAAAGTAGGTATTTTCTCTAATTAGTGATTAAAAATGATATATTGATATTTTTGGATTTAATTCAACCTTGAGTTATCAGTCAGATCTGTTTGATGATAAAATACGGTTTTGAGGTAGAGTGGGGGAGAAAGCTTGGGCCTTCTTCATTTATTTGTCAAGTACTTGAAATCTTCCTGGGATCAAAGAGGCAAGAACATCGAGAAGACATATTAGATTGGCCACTTGTCATGCTCCTTATATGATGACTCTGGTAGCAGCATATGTTTTTCTCTCTGATCAGAGGCAAACTTACTATGTAAACTAGGCTTGTCCTAAGGGGGAGATAGATTTGAGAACAATCCATGTGCAGTTCTTTCTGGGTTTATTTTGTTTTGCAATTTTTGCCCTTCTTGATGTAGCAGTCTTTTTATTTGCTTAATAGAAATGAGAATTAACACTTACTCTCTCAGGTGGAAAGAGGATTTCACAAGAATGCTCCTAACTGTGTAGCCTGTAACTGTTTTTATAGATGTAGTCCCAAAGTTTTGGTGTCACTCTTCTCCCTATTGCTGTGCTGGTTGCAGACATTGCAAGGCTCAGGAGGAGTCCTGATATTGCTAGGCTTTGTTAATGGAAGCAGTTAACACACATGTTGCCAGAACTCAGGCTGTTTTCTCTAGGGGCAGGATTTGGGAAAACATCATACAGGTTATGTCTCTTGTCTGTCATTAATCAAAGGGTTCAGGACTTAAAGTCTTACAGTTATCTATGTGTCCAGTGGTTTGGTCTTAGCTACAAAAAATGAAACCATGTAAATTACAACATCCTTGTTTGCATGCAGTTGGTGGTTTGGCAAACAGCTACCAAGATTGACATATGACCCTCCTTTCTAATACTTGATTTCTCTGGCATGCTTGCTCATAAGAACCTACATCTCTTGTTGCATAGCCTTTCATCTGGAGTTCACTGCTTCATGGCCAGTCCTAATCTGTTTTCATTTGACAGGTGACTGGTGAGCCTGTGTTGGAGATGTGTGGCCATCCAGCTGCCAGTCTGATTTGCTGCTCTGCATTGCATCAGCGAGCAGAAAGCAGGGACGTGCAAAGATGGCAGATTACTGCTGTTGCTCTAGGGAGCTGCCCTCCCCACAGATAACTCTTGTGCCAGCATATCTCCCAAATTATTAAGGGAAGCTTGTCTTTTTGCTGTACTAATATGTTCAACCTTGATACTGAATCAAAAGGTTTTTAGGAAGCAGTAGGATTGTATGTTTGCAATAAGGATTTTCTTTTATATGTATGAAAATAGCTGTCTGAATAAAACTTAATAGCTGTCCTCCAGCAACCATGAAATCATGGTTCCAGAGGACACAGTTTCTGTAGCTGATCACACCCTGAACTGTCCTTGACTCCATAGGGAATGTACAGGGACAATATGTAACCACAGGAATTTCATTCTCTGCCAATATCAACTTTAAATGACATTGCTGTCTTGGCAAGCAGATAAACCTCCTCTGGCTTCCTCTCTTCATTCTGCATGTATGTCCATAGAGTAACAACTATCTGGAGGTAAGGACAAATGGATATTAGGAAGGGTATTTTAAAATTCTGGGTGTTTCTAGAACAAAGATCCCTAATATTGGTACTGTACAAAAACTAGATAGATGGTGGTAGTGAGGTGCTTAAAATTAAGTAGATGGTATCTACTTTTCACTAGAAACACAGAGTTGTGCTCTGAAAATGACACAGCTTTCTCATTAAGCTCTAGACCCTACTTTCACCCACAATCATCCTCTTCCATGATCTGAGTGCTGCTTTCTTCTAGGTGAACTGGGCTGCAAGTTCAGCACACTTCCATTTGTGCTTCTAACACATCTGCCTTAAACAATCAAAGTCATGTGAATGTTGATAGTTCCTCAGTATGATGTATCAGGACTTGCCTGAGCACCCACATGATGGGCACATTCTTCCTACAATTTGCTAGAAGTGAGCCTGAGCGGGTGGATCAAAGAAGCAGGGTAGGCCATACATGTGCTGAAAAAAATGCAGGAATTCAAGTGGAGTCTTGTTTTCCTGAGCTAGGCAAAGCAGTCCTTTATTGCTGGAGTTAATTCGGAAGGTGCAAAGCATTTAAGGTGTGAGCACATCCATTTCTGGCTTTGAGACCTGCTCCAAACTGCTGCCTGCTGCTCTGATAGAAAAAGACTTGCTTAAATGGCTAGTAGGAGTTCAAGTACATTCACTTCTGTCACAGTGTGCTTGAGTACTTAGGCTGGATTAGAACAAAACTTCTTAGAGGGATTAGATCACATTATTAAGATGTACTTGCCTGTAAAACAAAACCACCTTCCTATCCACGTGTCACAGAACTGCTGGAGCTTTGAGCTGATAATGCAAAACAAATCTTCTCCTGAAAGAACCAACCTTAAACTGAGAACAAGATTAAGACACCTGAGGAGAGCCACCAGTCTGCCTGCCAGCCAGAATATGCTATGGGGAGAAAAAAAAGTCTTAAACCAAAACTAAATCTAGTTGATTCCTATCTGTTCTTCCTCTACTAACAGGCTGTGGTGGTGTAGCCATGGGAATGTACAATCTTGACCAGTCTATCAAGGATTTTGCCCACAGTTCCTTCCAAATGGCACTGTCTAAAGGCTGGCCCCTCTACATGAGCACCAAAAACACCATTCTGAAGAGATATGATGGCCGCTTCAAAGACATCTTCCAAGACATCTATGACAGGTAATCAGTTGTGTACTTCCCACTGCAGTGCGTAAGTCTGCAACAGGAACATCCTTTCAGCCTTGTGAGTTGCTTTTTCAGACATTCAGCAACACTTTAAGGGCACAGGGGATGCCATCTCTGTCACAGTCTCCCTTGTCCTGCAAGGCACAATACTTGGTGCAGAAAGCTCTGCTAAATGTGCCTGTGGTGTCCGTATCTTCTAATAAAGCCACAGATTCTCTGTGGGTGCCTCTATGACTCTGAAGCAGCCTTGCTATAGCCTAGCAGAAAAGGGAAAAAGAGTAAAGAGAATGCAGGGGTTTTTTGGTTTTACTCTTATCTCTGTGCACCTCTCTATGTACAAACTGTGCAATTCCCTGTTTGTATGACAAGGTGTTTTGGCTTTTGTTTTCTAGAGAATACAAGTCCCAGTTTGAAGCCAAAAAGATCTGGTACGAGCACAGGCTCATTGATGACATGGTTGCTCAGGCCCTGAAATCTGAAGGAGGCTTTGTCTGGGCCTGCAAGAACTATGATGGGGATGTGCAGTCTGACTCTGTTGCACAAGGTATGAGGTGCTTTATGTGCCACACTGAAGCAGGCTTAGTGGTAGTCTCTTGTGTCCTTCTGTCACATCTTAATGGAATGGCCCAGGATGTGGTGTTTGGTTTCAAAACTTGTATTTCAAGCCTGTTACCAGTCATGGAGGTATCAGGCAGTCAAAAAATTCTGATTTTGCTTTTACAAGAAAATCTATTGAACGTAGACTTGTAGTTGTATTTATTTACAGGAGGGAAGTTTCTACCACATGATCACTGGTAGGCTTTCTATTCTAATGGATAGTATTTAGACAGCTGGTTCTCTGTCACTGACAACTTGAGTTAAACTGACTGCTGCTGAGTGTGATGGCAGGTGCTCTGCAGATAAGTCATAAAACTTTCAGGACCTAAAGCTACCTGTCAGGTGTAAGGATTGATATGTTTAACTTTACATAATTGCAATGCTTGATCAAAATCTTATATAACCAAGGTGTCTGGTGCCAAAACAAATATGGATGCAGAATTCCACATTCCATCCATTCACAGGATGAAATGTGTGGCTTTATGTAACCCACTCTTTCTGAAGTAATGCCACTAAACTGCATCCCACAGAACAAGGATGTGTGTTGGACTGCTAAACAAAGCAGCATTCAAACATGGAAGTCTCTGAAACCTACAGGGTTAGAACTGCTGTGAATGTCCAATATCAGAAATTGCTGGTTCCTCTCAACAAGAGCAGATAAGATGTTTTGTTTCCTGTCACCCTGTGTGAAAGACAAGTAGCTCAACAGTTACTGTTCTCTTACTGTACATTTTCAGTAGAAATCTGTCCTGCAAATTAGATGAGAAAACTAATTTTCTTGAAATTGTCAGAATGTCTGTATATCTGTATCTCATGGTTCAGCTGGACTTCATGTTCAGATGAACTGTTATTTTTTGATGTGTTAATTGCAGAACCACTACTGCAGCTCTGCTGAGAGGGATTTTCATATCAGTGGGAAGATGTAGGGGGATTATAGGATAGGGAGATGAAGGGGAAATTTGAGGGAGCTGTCCAAAGGAGGCACTGAACTTTTGAAACTTGCATGTTGTAGGCTATGGCTCTCTGGGGATGATGACCAGCGTGCTGATCTGCCCTGATGGCAAGACTGTTGAAGCAGAAGCTGCTCACGGGACAGTTACTCGTCACTACCGCATGCACCAGAAAGGCCAGGAAACCTCCACTAACCCCATTGGTGAGCTGCTTTTCACTGCCCTTTATCATCTCTACCATGAAGGAATAAGTTTAGAGTAAGAATATCTGCACCCTTTCTGTAGACAACTGTACCACTTAGTGGTGAAATTTGCAGGTCATAATGCATTTTTCTTCCAGGGATGGTGACGACTCTTAAGGGGATGGAAGTACCTAAGATTCTTAAATGCTCGTTGATCAAAAGAAATTACAGAGAGGGTCTGCAAACAATCCAAAAGCACATCAGTTAATTACACACATGGCATGGAAATCGCTCTGTTAGTCCCTGACCTACTATATAACCACACAGCAGTGGGTTTTGAATAAAGGGCAGGGTGAAAGGGAAGAGAGGAATTAAGGCGGGAAAGATGAATTAAAGAAAGTAAGAAAGAAAAAGACAAATAGGGGAAAAAAAAAAAGAGGGAATTAAAGGAAGAAAAAGAGGAGAAAAGAGCAAGAAAAATAGATCACCAATCCTGGTTTCAGTACTGATCCAGCTGATAAGTGGCAATCCAGCTGCATTGGTCTGGCTGCTGAGATGTCCAGGGCCCTGGGTGCACCACCTGGGCTTGAGAGGGGAGAGGACCTTTTATGGACAGATTTCCTGCTTTTTATGTACATTAGTCATCAAGGGCAGTCCATTCTTTCAGGCCCGTCTGGAAGCAGGAGGACTTTGGGGATGTTTGGCCTCAATCCCACCCTATACTCCATGCCCACTTCCTGCCACTCATTCCTGTGCTTGCACTGTACTGTCTTGTGGCTCTTTCTCACAGAAAAGTGCTCTCCTGTTTCCACCTGGCCTCTCTTTTCCAGTCCAATCTTGTTCTTTTTCATGGCATGTCAGTACCAAAAGTCCATGGTTGGCTCTACAGCCATCAGTGTTCGAGACACACACATTAGCTCCTTCTCTTGAGATGGGCTTAGTTGGTCAGAGCACGGTGCTAATAACACCAAGGGTTCAATGGACCATTCATGTAAGAGTTGGATTCAGTGATCCTTCTGTGTCCCTTGCAACTCACACTATTCTGTGATTCCAGATTATCTTCTGGAAACTGTGACCTCCAAAAGATGTCACTTTGGGCTGCTGTTTGAAGGGTTGTTAGAGGCTAGGGTATAGTATGCATTAACTCCTTATAATTGAGAGCTTGAGGGGTCACTTTGGGTCACTGTTCATGGGGTCACAAGAGAATGGGCTTTAGTCATAGTCATTTTCCATCCTGGCTGTAATTCAAGTCAGTAACTTTCTTTGAAAGTTCAGCAACAAAAATATTACTCAACTTGGATTGTTACTCAGGCAAGAAAAATACCTTTCTAAGGCTGTTAATGGAAAAAAGGTGCTCATTAGACACTTCTAGTTCCTGGATTTCTGATAAACTTGAGAAGGACTTAGTCCAGATGTGGTTTGTCAAGGCCAAGGCCTAATGAGCATTTCTCAGATCACAGTGTGGCCTGAGGGAGGCAAGGGAATATACCCCCACTGTCCTCTTCTGACTTAAGTCAGCTTCTCCTGTTCTCTACAGACACAGCTACAGCCTGAAGCAAAAAACAGGCTGGCATGGAGTGAGTGCAAGCAATAAGCTAGACCTAACCTAGCCTGTATGCACTCACACTTCAGGAAACGATTTATAGCCACAAGGCCTTAAGGTTTAGGTTGGTTGTTTTTTATTTTACTCCTCATTCTGATGGCCCAGAAGAACCAACCACTGCCCAAGCCATGTACACACTCAAAGTGCAAGGGTACTTGGAATGGGATATGAGGGAAAGAATCCTCTACATTTGCATAAAGACCCCAGAGCATAATGTAGTATTAGGAAAAGGACTGCACCCTTCTGTCACAATATTTTCCTACAGAGTCCTACCACCTGTCATTCTTTCTGACTTGGGCAGGAAGAAAATAAAATTACATGCATAGAGAGATTACTGGAGGCAGTGAGTAGTTTCTGAAGTCTGCTTTGGTTTTGTTTTGTTGTTTTTTTTTTTTTAATTCTACAAAGGGCAAAGGATACTGAGATGAAGATAACTGTTCATTCCCATACCAGATTTTCTATCTTTTTTCAGTCTGCTTTCCATTTTATTGGTATTAAAATATCTAGTTATTGTTCCCCATGACGATTTAGAGCAACCTCCAGGAAGTTCTAGATGGATAGAATAACCTCGTGTTCTCTCTCAGCCTCCATCTTCGCATGGACAAGAGGCCTCGCTCACAGAGCTAAGCTGGACAACAACACTAGCCTCAGGAACTTTGCAGTTGCCCTGGAAGAAGTTTGCATTGAGACTATTGAATCTGGCTTCATGACAAAGGACCTTGCTGCCTGCATCAAAGGCCTGCCTAAGTAAGTGTATGAAATAACCAGCCATGCCTAGAGAAGGCTATTTTACGTGATGGTTCTGAACAGCATTGGCTGGAATGTTTAGTATGGTAAAGAACAGGAGTCTGTCTCACAGGACTTCCTGTACCCACTGTTGTAAAATGAACATGAGAGACTCCCTGATCCAAGCAGCTTAGGATAGATTGCTCTCTCCCTGCTGTTGCACCAAATGAATGGGAGAAAAAAGTAAAAAAGGAAGTGCAAAGGCTTATATTTTTTGTATGACACTATAGCTATGTTGGCCAGATCCTAATAAATGAAGAAGACGTACATAACTGTAAAATATCACCTGGCTACCTCTTCCCAGAGCCTTATGGCAGAAAAACCCAGCATCATGAGCAGGAGAGAACTGTTTTGGTTTTGGACACAAAACAGAGAGTTCTTTGAAAAGTCTTCCTCTGCTTTGGTTATTTGAGAGTCTGTACAACTAATATCTGTCTTGTTTTGTTTCCCCCACCAGTGTCACACGCTCTGATTACCTGAACACCTTTGAGTTCATGGACAAGCTTGCTGAAAACTTGAAGCAGAAGCTGGCCTCTATGCCCAGAGCTTAAGGCATGGGTTACACTCAAGCTCCCCTAACAAAATGTCTCCCACTTACATCAAAGTGTAAGTGGCATTGTCTCAAGCTTTGTTGTGCTTCTTTTAGGCTGTTCTTCAACTTTGGCCATCTGGTATTATCACACTGACCATCATGTGTTATCACACTGGCATTTCCTATCAGAATAATTTCTTTGCCCAGTTACTCATTTTTCTCTTGATTTTCTGTCTGATCACACTTGAGTCCTCTTGCAAAGCACAGTCACTGGAGGTCTCTTTCCTCAAGTGAATTCTGTAGACTGGAATCACCTGAGGCAACTTCATGACTTGAGAAGGTATGAACTAGGGGTTTTTGCAAGCTCTCCATTTTGCATCTCAAAGATAGGTCCCTTCTTAACCTGTTGCATTAAGTAAACACTTTCAAGACTCTGCAGCTGTGCTGGATTCACCTCATATGTACTTGAGGATTTTGGACTCTATCAGGAGAGTGGGAATGGTGCTCTCCACACCACAGCCTCTACTCCTCCTGTCAAAAGCCCCCCTTGCATACCTTCTACCCCATCTCACAGACTTCAGTCTCATTAGAACATGTTGCAACTTTTGGCTAAAGAAGCTTCTTGCATTTTGAGCATACTCTTCATTCACCTTGAGATCTATCAGGACTACTTTGTGCATTGTTTGTAATTGCAATTGTTTATTTTTTCCTGTTCTTCCTCTTAGCAGTTGTTCTCTCATCGGTTTTAGTTTTTTAATAGGCTCCCTCCAAGGTACATTCACCCACGATTGCTCCATCTTGCTGAATTTTTACAGTCTCACTCCCCCCAGATGTGAAACTATACTAATATATAGATAATACTTTAATTGAAAGAGATTCCCATGACAAGATGGGAGAAGCAGCAACAATTATGGGAAGCATTGCATGAAGCAGAAATTGAAATCAGCCTGAAAAATGTCAAGGACCAAGAAATTTGGGTACTTGGTAGATGCAGCCAATGCAGTAGCTCCGCCAGACACTTTCAAGGAATTGGAACAAATACAGGTGCCCCCATCAAAGAAAAAATTATATGAGTTAACGGGAACTTTAGGATATTGGAGAAAACACGTACCTGGCTTTTCTGTCATTGCTCGCATAAGTGGGTCTCCATTATGCTTTCTTGTGTAACATTGCAAACACTAGATAAAAGTGAACAAGACACTTTTAAAACTTTCAGAAAATCATGTTTTCTGAAACCCTTTGAGCTGCTAGGCTAAGCCCTACTTTTGCTAAGCAGATGAATTTGATAAAAGCTTGATATGGGTCTAGATGCCTAATTTTGTTCACAGCAGACCTGAAGTTTTCCTCTGTGACGTTGATCTATGTTTATCTCTTCCTCAATCTGAAGGCCAGTTTGTGTCACAGCTCTGGTCAAACCAGCAGTGGCCCACTGTCCAGCAGACCTTAGAAATTAATACCATCCTCCTCTCTTGAGTCCTTTCCAGTGAGTATAAGTGAGCTTGGAGGGCTATGCAAGCTCTACCACAGCACTCCTGAATTTATCTTGTAGTGCCAACCAGAGCACAGTATCCTGATACCAAGAGATTTGGTTCCATTGCTACAGTCAGGACTGTAGCATTTGAGTAGCACTTACTAAATGCTGGAAACAAGCCTTATAGGCTAAGAGCCTACCAAAGCCATGCTGCAGTGTCTAAATGCAGGCCGTGCATTTAGTTATGCTCCTTCTGACTGGATGTGAAGCATGGGAACTGTTAACCTCTTCCCTCACCCCACAATTCATAAAGGTGCAAACTTTTCTCCAACTGTCTGGGCGATTACTTACCCTTGTTGTCTTACAGCAAGTAATATCGTGACTGTGAAAACTTATTCCATCCATGATTGTGTGTTGGTTTTTTTTAAGGAATATTTTTAATTCGGACTAAAATAAAAGACTAACATTCTTTGTGTCTCCTTCATGTGATTAGCAGATATGGGGAAACTGGCTCGGAAACTGCAGTAGCTTTCAGCGCAGTCCAGTACACGCTGGGACAGACTCTTGGAATGTGATATAAACATAAAGTATCTCCCTTCTTACAATAGAGTTTCAATTTGTTCTAGCCTAGGCAAAGCTGTCAAGTGTAGTGTCATGGTAAGCATCACATAGTGTACAAGAATTCATTAAAATTTTATTTGGGGAGTAATACAAACTGATAGATCATTATTCAGCAAAAGAGGAACTGATTACACATGAACGAACTCTCTCCCTCCAGCTGACTGCTATAGATGGTGATTAGGATAAGAATACCTATAGACTAAAGGAGATGCTCTTACCCTGTGTTTGAAGTACAGCTCTGTAACTGCTAGCAGCTGTCTCTGTACCTTGCATGTCAATTAATACAATCTATTATTCTGTTATTAGTACAAGCACATAAGTGCAGAAGGAAAAAGTCCAATTTCTGACCCATAGAGGCAATGAAAACAATTACTGGGAACACTTGGAGATCTATGTTCCTGCCTGGCTTCAGACATTGGGTCAACACAGGCAGGTTCTAATACAACAGCACTTATAACAAGTGTTATAAGTGTTATTTACTAGCTCCTACCTGGCTTCCAGAGTTACAGAATACCAGAGAAATCTTGGTAACTTCCAGAAAACTGAACAGGTAAGGCATTTTTTGAATCAGACTTTTTCTTTCCTAGTTTTAATAACTTAAAAGTACAGCTTAAATGTAAGCTATGCAGTAGCGTTTACCTGGCTGCCAATGACACTATTTTCCCCTCTACTAATGAAGTTTCCATCTTCTGGAGTCCTCTGAATACAGAGAGTACAGCAAGACCCAGCCTAACCTCATGAACTGATAGATGGTGCTGAGGAGAAAGAGTAAGTATGGGCAGAAGAAAAGAGCAGCCCTCTCCCTGCTCTACCACAAAGAGGAAACACTTTTCCTGCTTCCAAACAGGCACATTTCCTTCCCTTTTACTACTGGTGTGATCCCTTCTTTTCCCCATCATTCTCTCAAACATTTAGAATCCATAACCTTCGAAGTCACAAGAGTAGACCCTAAAGAAAGCAAGTGCTTGAAGCCAGTGGGTGCTGCAATGGAAGTGTAAATGATTTCCTTAAATGCAACTGACCCCATCTGGAGTTCTGTTGGCCAGGTCTGTGATTCCCAGCTTAAGAGGCATATGGACCTGTTGGAACACAAAGATGATCAGAGGGCTGAAATATGTCTCCTATGAAGACAGGCTGAGAGAGTTGAGGTTGTTCAGCCTGGAAAACGGAAAAGGTGCTAGGGAGACCTTATCACACCTTCCAGTACCTCAAGGGGCTACAAGAAGGCTGTAGGAGGTACTTTTTAAAAAGGGCAAGGAGTGATAGGAAAAGGGGAGCTGTTTTTGAACAGCTCTGTCTCATGGGACCCTCTCCTCCAATCACCTTCTTTGTAGCAATACTCAGAATGTTTGAAACAAGACATGTTTAGGTCTGGTCCTATGCACCCTGTGTTTCAATTATTCCTTAATGTTGGTTGGCATAGGGCTCATCTTCTGCTGCAGGGAGCTTTCCATGGCAGACGGGGAGAGAACAGGAAGAAAGCAGAAGATAGCTAGGGGCTAATCATACAGCACATAAGCCCATCATCAAAACAGACATCCATCAATTTATGTCAACCACCCCATAAGTCCCAAAGATTTGAAAACAGAAAAAACCCATGGCACAAGGCTCAGTTTGTCAAATTGGTCCTTGGGTTGCCTTAGTTGGAGTAGTTCAGCTGCCTGGTCAGCCACCTCCATCTTTGCTTGGGCCTCTGCGTTCAAAGCTGTAGCCTTGTGGCTAAATGTATGAGCTTCTAGGGGCTTGGGGGCTGCTTTCAACCACTGTTCTAATCCTTTCCGTTGTTATCAACTTGTGCCTTGGCACTGAGACATCCTTCAGGAAACACGTCTTTGTTCTCTTTCATCTTCTTGGTCATTCTCTTGGCTTTGACAGGCTTCTCTTTGCTTTTGTAGAGAGCAGAGTAGAGGAACGCGGTGTCTGTAAATGGGTCACCCTGCCTCAGTTTCCTGCAGAACCAAAAGGGTTACATTGAACCATCAAGTATTCCTTGAATTCATGTATGATTTTAGTCCCTAAAGTTTATAATTTTAGTGCAGTTCTTCCCCATAAGATGATTAAGTGGTAATTTGTTTCTTGTCCAATACAGAGGACTTTCTGGTGCAATATAACCAGCTATTCATGGAAAGTTCAAACTGGGACACTTTACAGGGAAAAACACACCCAGTAACATTATATAACTGCAAAGCTGTCATTTTAGCAGTACATGACTCTGTGCAATAGCCATTTGATGTACTGAATCTACAGTTTCCTAGGGAAAAGATGAAGTTATTTGTTTAGGTATATCTGCTAGTGAATATAGATAGAGGCTGCTCTCAGGAGGAAAGTATTACTTCGGTAGCTAAAATTTTAGTCATCACAGAATGTAAATGAAATAGGGCTTTTGCTGAGCTGTCTTTAGCCTGTATTTTATCCTTGTGCGACTGCCTCATTAGCACTGGAGTACCAAAGATGCAGTCTGCCAAGAGATGTGCTCATTTCAACAAGTAACATAACATCTTTGGTAGCTTGTTACCAGAAGCCTAAACATCCTATGTGTACTGATGCAGAATTTTGGCATAACCACAAAGTGGTAAGAGGAGGGTGATAGAACACAAAGGGTAAGAACTTTGAAAAAAGCAACGGAAGGTCCAGCCCTGGAGAGTTATTATCTGAGAACAGAGCAGGGGCTGCAGCATGGGAGCAGTCTTTGGAAGGAATAGTTTAAAGCCCAACCTTCTGATTGATGGCTCTTTGTAGCAGGCTGGCTTCCGTTTCCGCCTGGTTGAGCATCCTAATGCTTCCTCCGAGCCAGAGTGAGACAGAACCCTGGGACTGTTCAAGTCCTGTAGTGGCCTGATATCTGCAAAGGGAGACATTCACATGGTTTGATCAAAGTGATACCAAATCATTTCCAGATATCCTAAGAAATAACAGCTGACAAATAGAAAAGACTTGTATTACCAAGTTTCTCTGAACATGCACAATCCGGAATCGAATCATATTGCCCCTGAACTCAGGAGACCATTTTAATACAAAAATACCAGACCTGCTCCTCAAAAGTCACCTCATAAATCAAATTAGGGCCCTCAATGAAAAAATCACTAAATACTGATAGTGTCATGGGCCCTGGTGTAGTAGAAAAATTATATAAAAACTCTATTTGATAGCTGTAATACTCAGGAGCTTACAGCCTGGAGAAGACAGCAAGCTTATAGCACACAAACAACCTACCAGAAACCTACTGACTTCCAGCAAGGTGCAGGACCAGTGGTCACTGCACCTTTCCAAGTGGAGTCAGCCAAAAGGAGGAAGGCAGGAGAACAAACCTCCTCCCTCTCTACAAAGCACAGCCCACTCCAGTTGTAACAGGCCTATTTGTTAACAGCTACAGAAAGAAAAACCCCACAGAACTACTCTCTTTACTGAGCATCATTAACAGCAAACTCCTCAAAAGGATCAGCTTAACTATGGTAGTATGGTGGCCCAGGGATTCACCCTCCAAATCCTTTTAAAAAACAAACAAAACAAAACCCACAATCAAAATAATTTAGGTTGGGTCCTGGTTAATTTCCAGTGACAATATCACCTTAGAGGTACGAAGTCTTGCAGCACTAACCATTCTGGCCAAAAATTTTCCACCTTGTCATTTTGTGCCCCAATAATACTGACTGCCAGGGTCAGCATCAAGTTAGATTTTTGAACTGCTTGAATACTTGATTTTCTAAACTAATAGGCATGCCCTGTAGATAACAAGAGTGGTAAAGCAAGACTCAGCACATGCTGCTTGGCCCAATATCTACACATGGACATGTGGACAGAAATTCTTATGGAAATGCTGATCAGCTAGAAGCAAATGCAGCCACAGAAATGACAGGCCAGCACAAGTGGAAGCATAAATGGTGTACTGGACGCTGATCTGTGACTCTGAAAAAAGAAAGGAAGGAAAATATAAGCACTTGCTGCATGGAGTTTTTGCCCTCATCTCCAGACACAGGTACTTTCCCCACTTACCACCTACCAGGTTCCGGTGGGCTCCAAGAACTTGACTGGGCTTGGTTCCTTTCCCCAGGTATTTCCTCTGAAGTGTTTTCTTTAAATATCAGAGATTTTTTCAATGAAACAGGAGGTTTTTCTGGCAATCTGTTGCCCTCAGTACTTAAGCTCTTGGAAACTGGTATTTCTGTAAGTCTGGAACTGACAGGCAAAACTGCAGAACTGCTCACATGGAAGGATTCAGGACTGTGTGAAAGGTCTGTAAGACTATCTGCAAGTGATATCTCAGGTAGTTGCTCCTCCAGGAAATCATCCAGCTCAGACAGCAGATGGCAGGAAAACTTGATAGTCTTCTTGGGAGCATGTTCTGTGGGACTTCCAATGAGAACCTTGGCACCATCACTTTTTCTGGCCAGGTAATCAGTCTCTGGAAGTTGAGACTTGCTCCTCTTCATCTGAGACCTGAGTTTGCAAGACGCTTCTTTTTTCAAAGAATTCATATTGTGGTCAACTTCACCTTGCCCTTTTTCTTGAAGGCTCCCTGTCTGTTTTTTATTGCTCTTTTGATTGCTCTTACTGGCTCTGGAGATTTGGCTCACTTTACTCCCAGGAACAGACTTGGGAGGTACATTTTTACCTCCTTCAGATTCCGTCTGGAAACAACTCACATTTTCTGCAAGATCCAAAGGATGGACAATATATGTTTCCCTGCGCTGTTTTAGATTACCTGGCAAATCCTTTGTGCTCTCATTAGCTACTCCTTGAACATCTATGCAGGGCCTAAAAACATTATCTTCATTTCTCTGATCACAATTGCTTTTCCTGACAGCATTCTTCCTGCTTGTTTGGCTTCTTTTAGGCCGTTCTTCAGCTTTGGACTCTGTTATTATCACAGTGTTTGGCAAATATTCCTCATCAGAATCATCGCTTTGCCTAATTACTCTAGTTTTTCTGTTGGCTTTCTGTCTGATGCTCTTTCTGCTCACACTTGAGAATCTTGTAGAATTCTGTAGGCTGGAATCACCTGAGGCAACTTCATGACTTGAGAAGGTATGAACTGGGGATTTTAACAAGCTCTCCATCCTTTGCATCTCAAAGATAGGTCCCTTCTTAACCTGTTGCATTAAGTCAACATTTTCAAGACTCTGCAGCTGTGCTGGATTCACCTCATATGTACTTTCAAAGTCTTGGACTCCATCAGAAGAGTGGGAATGGTGCTCTCCACAGTCTCTATTCCTCCTGTCAAAAGCCCCCTCAAATGCCTTCTGCCCCATCTCACAGACTTCAGTCTCACTGGAACGTGTTGCAACTTTTGGCTGAAGAAGCTTCTTTGCATTTTGAGCACACTCTTCGCCTTGAGATCTATCAGGACTACTTTCTGCATTGTTTGTTTTCAGCAAACTTTCTGCAGGTGTTTTCTTTTTTCCTGTTCTTGCTTTTTTAACAGTCTTTTTCTCTCTAGTTTTACACTTACCTTTGCTTTTAACCTTTACAGGAACAAGCTCAGGGACTTGGCTATAGCTAGGGTCCATTTCAACACCATACCCCATTTCTTTTGTCTGTGGCTGCTCACAAAAGGTCTCTTTACCCACAGAGTTTGTATGAGAAATAACAGCAGTTTGAGCAGGAGAAGCCAGGGGGCTGGGAGATCGCCACTGTTGCTGTGTGTTGTTGTTGCTGGAGCTGCTGTTGTCCTGTGCAGTACTACCCTGAGCTGCCTGAGTGGGACTGACATGTATGACGATATCCAGAGCAGAAGATGGAGTGCTTGTAGCAAATAGGGTAGAACGCTTTCTCCTCTGAGTAACATGCCCTTGTGAGAGACGATCAAATAAATGTTTTGCCATCTCATCAGCCTCACATGAAAGAGTATGACTTTCCAATCCAAGCATTGGCAAATTGTTGGGATTTTGTTCAGTGCTGCACAAGACCTCTGTTAGAAAGAAAAAATTCACGTTTAAGGCTGAGAAATGCAGCAGGCAAATGCTACCTTTCCCCATACCAGTAAAAACTTTGCTCCATACACTGCCACAAATCCAGAGCATAGAAAAAGCATGATTTTGAGACAGGGACTCCCCCAGCTTACTGTGTACCAGATTTGCTTAGCTGGCTTCTCTCTGAACAAAATAGCAGCCCACATCAAGATGCCCTACCCAGCTGTAATATTAGGAACACTTATGATCTGTACAAGAGTTATTATTTATATGGCAAATCCACAAGAAACAGTGGCGCACCTAGTCAGATTCTGTACTTTCAGACATCTCCAAAAGTCTTATGTAAGCTCGGCCCCTATTACTCAAAAAGCCTGATTTGTGAGTTTGATCTACTGCAAACACACCACATAACCCTCTGAAGACTCTGATTCTGGGATAGACATAACTCCAGCAATAACAGCCCCAGTGGAACATGTAGTTAATACCAGTCATTAGGAGCTACTGGAGTTGTGGTTGAGAACTAACTGGAGCTATGTCAATCATGCATTTCTGGGTACAGACACAAAGTCATACCAGAAGAACAGAAAGAGATGCAAATTTACCTCCAAAGATGTGAGAGTCATGGAAAGCCTCCTCTGTTGCCATTGCTTCAGTCACCTTTTTGCCATTATCTTCCTGGTGGAACTGAGGCTTCTCATTGTGCTGTGGTGGCAAAGTATCTTTGGAAGCAACAGGCACTATTTTCAGGGCCTCATTAGAGGCAGGTCTCTGAAGTTCTCCTGCATTAGAAGCAGGTTTCTGAAGTTCTCCTGAGGATGTCTGTACTGCTGTGGAGCTGCCATCTTGCTGCTCTGCATCATGCAGCTTGGAAATGGGCACTCTCATTGGTATCTGTGTAACCCTAGTGAGAAGGAAGAGCAGCAATGGATCATGTTTCTCATATACAACAGGCCAGAATCCCAGCAGACTAACTAAAGGCCACATGTGGGCACCTCCAAACACTGCCCTGTCTCCAAAGGGGAGACTACACAGAGAAGAAGCAGGACTTCAAATATACTTCAAGAGATCATGCTCTGACCATCTTTCCAGAAAGCTTACATCATACAAGCAGGTGACTATTAAGCATTTTTATGTAACACACATCAAAGTAGCCAGCTATGGCACTCACTCACTCAAGCAAATCTTGCTGTACTCACCAGCTTAACACAGTCTCAAAGAAAGAAGGTAAAAAGACCGGCTTTTGCACAGACTCAGCATTAGGACAAACAAGACAAGGAGTGGCAATAAAAAGACAATAAAGGAAAGCATCAAGCAGTGGTGGTTCAGAGAAGCTATCTCATGAAACTGGCAACTAGGCACACACATAGTGTGTTTAGCATACAGAAATTCAGGACAAGCTTGGTGGTATCATTTCAAAGCCCACCTCAGAAGCTGACCATCTACAATATCATCAACCCAGCTATGTTCAGTCATGATGCTCTTCTGGCCACTGGACAAGGATGCAGAACTTGTATGGAACTGGAAAAAAGAGAAACAGGAGAGTAATTTAAAGTTCTTGAAATTCCTCATGCAGCCTCCTGCACAGAAACAGCAGAAGCTCAGTTCCTCTAGAAAGTATTGCCAGCAATCCTCTCATGTTACGGAATAAATTATGGAATAAATTGCAGCAGAATTAGACTGTGTCTCTACAGCCTACGGATGAAGTTAAACTAGTTCAGATAATCTGAGACTAGGAAGCAGAAGCATCCCATCCACCCATGAGACAGGACACAGGGAAAGTGTCCTATTCCGTATCCCAAGTTGCCATGGCAATACTTTAAAAAAGAAATTGAAAAGCAAGCATAACCTGTCAGAACAGAAAAGCCTACTGCCCAACATAGCAGATAATCCAGAGGAAAACAGTTTAAAACTAGTTTTTCCTACACAAAGAGTTACCCTGAAAATCCTTAACACCAAGCCAGATGTAGCCAGAACAACTCAAGAAAGCAAAGAAAAACAGGTGAAGCATCCAACATTGAAGTGAGCAGGCAACACAAAGCAAAAGACAGAAAAAGACAGTCCCCTTCCCAGAGCAGTGTGCTCACGTTTCCCACGGTTTACCTCAGACAGCTCAGCCATCTTAACTGCAGCCATAAGATTGTCCATTTTTTTCAACATATCATTCTGTGTTGAGGTAATAAAGAGAGAGAAGCCATAAAGACATTACATCAAAACATCTATTCCAACAAGGATGCTACTAGCCAGAGGCATGTTCTGGGGAGAACACAGCTTGGAAACAAAAACAAGCAAATGAATGGTGACCTTTTTGATATGTTGAGAATCCAGAATTCAACAGCAACAGCTCAATCCTCCCACAGCTGAGCTGCAATTGCAGCACCCCATGCCAGCCACACAGTTAGTGCCATACCAGGAAGTTGAGCCTCTGCCGCAGCACAGCGTTCTGGAAGTGACACTGCTTCACCTCCTTCTGTAAAATAGTCTTCTCCTGAGTGAGCCGCTGTGCCTTGGCTTTCTCTGCATTGAGGGCCAGAGCCAACGCTTTATTGTTCTGCTTTAGAGAGATTTTCATAGTGGAGGAGTTGTCTGTGAGAGACAGAGCAGTATCACACACCATCAGCGTCCAAGGTCCCATGCTTCTCCCCTCATCATAATTCTCTCTCTTCCTAGACCAGCCTTCTTTAGATTCAAATCTCTACAACTCAAAAGCCCCCTTGCAAAATCAGTAGTATCCTGTATCCTTCCATATAACATGCAACACTTCAGATACCCTCTCCATCCTCAGTGGGTCATGCTCAGGCAGCAAGCTACTGCTTCAATTCTTAATGAATAATGGCATAGTTGAAGTGCTGAAATATATAAAAATAAATGATCCTAATATTTAAATATAGTATATATATATAATAAAAATAATATAAAATATACAATAAAATATATATTATATATTTATTTTATTATGTATTATATGTAAAAATATATATAATAAAAATAAATACATAAAAATAAATGCTCCTAATATTTAAAAATATATCCTCCTTGCTTTGAACAAGTCATCAACAGGTAAGTCTGCATCACCATCCAAAAAATGGGAGAAAAAACTGTTTTCTTCTATAGTTGCCCTTGAGTAAATTTGGACCCTTGTTTCCCAATTTCAAAACAATCAAATAAAAGTAATGGAAAGATCCGAGTTTTTAAAGGTAGTCTAAATTATGTCCTGTTCTATCTCTGCATTACTTTCCCCATAAAAACAAGTCAGTTGGCCTAGATTCCGCAGAGGATTGCATATGCACTAAAATACTTCCTACACCTTTGGGCGCCTTGAGTGGCACTTGACACTCATCGGCAGGGCCCTGAATTCACTCAACACCCCGGCAGAGGAGCAGCACATGGGCTCTGCTAAGGGTCTGCTGCCCACTCCCGATGCCCCGGCCAAAGGCCCAGTTATAAGCTGACACAGCAGCCAGCATATGTACACACCGCAACGCAAAATATACTCACTGATGATCTTCGTTTTGATTTTCGATGCAAGCGAGGCATTCAACTTCGCAGTCCTCAAGGCACCCTTTTTCTTCTCCCGCATCCGCTCTCTCACGCAGCTCAGACCCAAGAGGGACATTTCGGCGGCCTCCAAGGCTGCCATCGCTGAAGAAGCGACCCCGAGCAGGGTCCGCGCCCGTTTTTCCCTTCCACAAGCCCTCACCGGCCGAGGCTCGCCCTTGCCCCGAGAAGCGGCGTCGCGGCCCGGCACGGCCCCCCGGCGGAGGAGGATGAGGACGAGGAAGAGGGGAAAGAGGAAGAGGGGGAAGAGGAAGCCCCGCCCGCCGAGCGACTTTCGAATGCCGCGGGCGGCGGGCGGCCCGCCCCTCGCCCCGCCCCTCGCCCCGCCCCGCGGCCCGGCGGCGGAGAGCGGCGCCTCCTGTGCGCCCCGGCCCGGCCGCGCGGGGGCGCCACGGCCCCGCGGCCCTCGGGCTGGAAGCGGCCCCGGCCCCACAGAGCCAAAGCGCTCCTGCGATGCCTCAGAGGAGGCCGGGGGTTCTTCGGAGGGACGTACGCCACCCCAAAATTAGGGTTTGCTGTTTTCAGTTGTGACAAAGACCGTTAAATATGACCGTTAAAAGGAATTACTTTTATTCGTACTTCACACTTCAGTCCAAGTTAATGCATTGTTTTCCAGACACCCTTGAATTTGCCTTCAAGAAGTTTACATAACATGTGCTGGTGTGATGATGTTAAGTATTTTTGCGAAATTACACATACAGGAAAAGCAGCCAAATATTTTGAAAAACAATTTACAGAGGGGGGTACCAAGGGCATAAAACTGCTGAAAACAGCTGTCTGTTTTCCCAAAATGGGTTCTTTTACCTGGTGTGCAAGAGGCCGATCCCCACAGAGAGGTGAGGTGTTTGATTTTTGTACAATTCTGCACAAAAAAAAGAGTGCTGGGTGTCAAAGCCACTAAGCCAGTACAATGACTGCCAAAAATTATCACTATTCATACATTTTAGTAAACAAATGCATTGGTATTCATTGGCTACAAGTTACATAGTGCTCTGATTAATTAGTATCTATCTACTGTTACAGTCTACATGCTCAGTCTCTCTTCTTTTGAGTTGGCGAATTTCATGGTCACAATCTCCCCTTGCCAGAATTACCTTCCACATACTTGGGGCTGACTTCAGCACAGCTACTGAATTGGTTTTGTTAGTTACTTCCTTATCTTGGGAGTTCTGCCAAATGTCCTTGTGGCTTGTAAATTCTGCATTCTTTGTTTCCACTATCACTAGTACGTCCTTCTCCCCACTTTGTTAACATCCCTCTGGAGCTGAGATTATTGAAACATTCCAAGCTCTAGACCTCAGCAAGGCAGTTCTACTGACAAGTAATTTATCTTTCTAACACCTGAACATCATACTTTCTGCCACAGACAAAGGTAGCCCTTTGCAAGAGTCCTAAAACCTACTCCTGTTTTATGAGGTATTTGTTAATACATCAGCAGATAAACATTAGATAATGACGATTATTAAATATGTTTATTCATTCCAACCTAATTAAGTAGCACATTGACCAAACACCCTCCATACTTATCCTGGAAATTAGATGTGCAGTGGGTAACTATTCTGTAGGCACACAGACTACCTGCAGCTTTAGTTCTTGCTCAAGGGAAACAGACAGCCATTAAATGCTAGTTCTATGGGTGTGGGAAAAAGATAAAAGTATCCTCTAAGGTACACTCTGTGATCCATGTGTGACAAATCCCACAGTTTGGGGGCCTAAATTTTCTCTACTAAGTTTATTAAGCACACAAGTCGGTAAATTAAATTAACAGTTGACGTCTTAAAACCAGAGACCCTTTCCCACACAGCTCTATTGAAACAGTGTAAATCTTTGCCAGGAGATATTGTTGATGTTACTACTCAAAATTTCAATTTCACTTATTCTGAAAGTGATTTGACAAATTGGTAGAAGTTAAAAACAAACAAGAGCTATTAACTGCCAAGGCAATACTTTTTGCTCAAGAAGGTCCTGAACTGCAGAGCAGAGAAATACACTGACAAAGCTTGATACCTGCTGGCGCAGTTCCTCCATCTCTTCTGTGGGCATCCACTAGTGAATGTTACTTATTTTTACCAGGGAAAAGAACAAACACAGCAACATTCCCCACCTTGAAATTATACAGAAGCATTTCTTGCTTTGGGGGAAATGGCAGAGATGAGCTCACCCGAGGACTAGGGGCCAGATTCATTTCAGGAAAGTCCCTTTCTTCATTAGGGTATCACTTTTGCCACATAACAGGGGTTGGGTTAGCAGGACTTCGGGTTAGTCCTGGCATGGCTCTGTTTGCTTTGTGAAGGTCATTTTTCCCTGTCACCTGGCCATAGCAGCAGATAAGCCCTTGCTGGGTGTAACTGGTGGAGTTACTCCTGGCAGGCAGGAGATCTGATTTTCTCAGAGAAAACAAGCAGCAGCTCTATTTTTGACATGTTTGCCATGATGCCTGCATGGAGGATGCTCTCAGAAATCAAATCCAGCTTAATTAAAAGCTCCTCAGCTGGAATGAAAGGTGGGGAAGTGCTAAGCTTGGCGCTCCTTTTGCCATAGAATAAAAGAGAAAGGCAAATGAAAGGAGAAAGTACAGCACAAATTCTATAAATGCTAAGTATATTTCTTCCTGGAGAACATCTATGTCTCATAATAATACATTTCCTTGTATGTTTTCTTAGACCATCACAAAGAGAGGCAACATTATTATCATGCCTCATAAACCCATTCCTATTTTTTATTAGGAAATTATTTAATAACAGAAGTACATTTCCAAGGAGGGGGATGGCTCTTTCATTCAGAACTACAACCTGTAAACCTTCCTAATCTACAAAACCCCATAGCCTCTCCTCAGTGACTTGCTAGCCATCATGATAGATTAGCTACCATCGGCAATCCCATGAAAGATTAGCCCTGCATCCATTGGAAGGACAACGGTGGGGTTTAGAACAGCATGTTGGGATTTCTTGACTATTAAAATTTCTCCCAATACTGTAAGCAAAAACATAACCTTAATGAAAGAACAAGTAGCCAGGATCCTTGCTATATGCTACAAACACTGCAAATGGAACCCTAGATAGGCTCTGGGGAGGTATCAGTTTTAGTTTTTCATTGTTCGTAGTAGTAGAAGTTGGTAGCTTCATTTACAAGTAATTACATCCATCAGAAAACCCAGTGAATAGTCTCTACCTCCGTTGTTAGCAAGTCTGCTTGGTTTCCAACCAACCACTCAGCAGTGAAACTCAATGCCTGGAAGTGTATTAGTATCATCTAGCTTGAAACTGATAACACACAAGCTGAAGGCTTAACCTCTTCTTTGTGGCAGTTTTGATTTGCTGCTTTTTTTCCTTTTTAATTTCTCTCCGCTCAGCAACATTGTTTCTAAGCAACATGAGAAAGCAGCCATCCTGCAAGAAGCCATAGCCTAATTTCCCTGGCACATAAACTGAGAGGCAGAGACAAGAAAGGAAGAGCAACATCAAGAGGGAATTCCTCTTCATAAATACCCAAGGTCAGAGAGGCTCCAAACTCAGATCCTGAGGCCTGTTGCAAGAACTGACACAGGTAGACCATACTTTCTTCTGTACATTTATGAGAGAGAGAATGCGGGGGCAATATTCATTAACAGCTGTGTGTATCATGGAACAGAGGAGTAGAGTATGCACTTTGATGTTACAACAAATTGGTGGGCCAAGTGATGGCTTTTCTCTTTGCTGTAATTTCATCTCTTGCACCCTGTCTTCTTCCCAGTCCATCCCCTCTTTCTACCACATAGATCTGATTAACAGACACACAGTAGGGAGAGGAAGCCAAAGCTAAGAAACTAGGAAGTGGCAGTGGGTCAATAGACTGCAATATATGAGAAAATAGAGATCACTGATAGGGATGCAAACAAGCTGCAAGCTGATGCTCAAAGTTGATGCCTTAAATGGGCTCATTCTGTCCATTTCCCTTTACTAAACTCATGTAAAGAGTAAAGTACTTTCAGTACTGTGTATATTGTCTTCTTTCTTGATTAAATATTTCTAAGCTCCTATTTTAATCCTACCTTGGAAATGGTTTTGGCTATATTTTTGTAGGCAGTCTCCAAGTGTCCCACTCTCTTTACTTGTGATGAAGAGAATCATTGACAGAGATAGTTTGTAGGATGTAATTTTCTCCTTCCTAGATCCATTGAGTTTATATTACAATGACAAATACAATATGGAAAGAGAACTCCTGAAGAAGCAGATCAAAAATATCCTGTAAGTAGTACCTGCCCACAATTGCTTTCAGTGCACTTGAGATTGGCTTGTTTTCCTTGCAAAAGGTTTTAAAACCTAGGCAGATGACAGCTTTCAAAACTTAGTTTTCTCTTGCTGGAAAGTATGAACAAACTTCCTTTGACATGCTCTTCATTTTGTTACATTCAGTTTGCAGTGAGAGACCTGACCGCCCAAAACTTCCTCAGTAAGAGCAACCAGGGTGGTGCAGAGCTCCTCCCTTGCAATGCAGCCAGGGCAGCTGCTGTCTGTAAGGGGTCTCCTAGCTCATGCAGCAGCATTTCATGCTCTTCAGTGCAGGATTGCCCAGCAGATAACTCCTAGGGGATGTAAGAAGTATTCCATCTATTCCATACAAGTCCAGTGCCCACCTACCCTAGGAATGCTTGCATGGATCAGTAGCACTTAGTCTGAGGAAAGGTCACAAAATCAGGCCTCCCCTGAATGACAAGGACAAGCACCAGTGAAGCATCTCTTTCAGTCTCTTGGCTGTACAGTGAAATTCTTCTGTTTAGTCCCCAGACTTTAGGTAATTGTTTCATATTTGCACTTAGTCCCATATTTTGGAGCCTGTGGAGAAGATAACAGTGGGGTTTGAGGGAAGCTAAAATTAGCAGAGATGCAAACAACTAACAGCTTTCCTACTTGTGAACTGTCTGTGAGAGATCCAGCAGTAGACTCCTAGCCCTGAATCACAGTAAATTTAGCCTCGGTCTTGCACTAGCTTTAGAGTCATCTATTACATTTCCTATGCACTGGTTTGCTTAGAAACAGGTGTAATTCAGAATTGTTTCCTTGCTTTAAGGGGAGATTATGTTGGCATCAGACTATGAGAAAAAGTATTTAGTCCAAGAGGACAAAGGCAGTCCACCTTTCTAGATGACATAGTAATCACCAGACTTCCTACTTTCTATCCTCTTAATTCCAGGGCTGCTGAGAACTATGAAAGATTATTTAGCTTGGTACAGCTATATTACCTGTCCCTACAATGGCCAATAAAAGCCTATTACTGAAAAGAGTACCTAAAGAAATTGGCTGTGAGTAGCCAATCCTGGTGTAGAGTATCCAAGATAATTACAGATTTTGCTGATTTTTTAGCAAGGAAAAGGTCATTTGCAGAAGGCATTTGATAAAGTTGTCAACTAACCAGAGGTTATTTTTCATAAACTAAAGCTGTTGGTGCATAAGAGAACAAAGTCTTCCTGTGTATGTTTAAAATACTTCAGACCTCCTCCTCTTTGTACAACATGAGGTACCCAGTGTAGTTACAGCTCATGTTTCCCTACAGTACTCTGGTCTTTCTGTCTTCACTCAAGCAATTAGTCTAACAAACCACATAAGGTTCTTCTGTCTTTCCAGGTCCCGTTACAACTTAGCCCTCAGTGTTGCTTTGATGTGGTTAAGTGACTCAGATGCTCAGACTACACTGACAAGAGAGAAAATGTGAGTATTGCAAAGAGCCAAGGTTCTGCTGCTGCAGTGACTTACACCAGTGTGAAGATGAAGTAAAAGCAGCAGTGAATTGAGCCCAGGACTACAGTGTGTATTAAAAATACCAGGCTAATAATCTTCCTGTTCAGAACACCATACAGGGATTTTGCAGCTCACAACCAATACACATATCCCAACTGAAATGAGAGAGAAGCTATGGTATTATCTTCATATGCTGGAATACTAATAGTAAGAGACCAAGAAAGATGGCAGGAGCTTTTATCCTATGGCAGACAAAATAGAAACACTCCCTGTACCTAGAATGTCTTTGTTCATTGAAAACACAGTATAAAGACATTACAAATATTACAAAGACATCTAATTTTTATCAAGCAGCCATAAAGTTTTGCTCAGCCTAAGAAAACAACATAGGCAGTTTCAGTAGGTGTTCCTGTGCATGTGTACACGTTATTTTACTTGTCTCAGCCAAGTGCAAAATGGCAAGCAAGTTTAAGGACCAGATCAATGGATTCATACTAGCAGTATGAAACATTATAAGGAGCTCATGTGAGAGCTGTTTCAGAAAAGGGGATATGAGCTTGATTTCATCCATTGACTTGAAAGAATACTACCTCTGAGAGCCAAACCTCTCTTCTAACTTGTCTTCACAGAACAGCATCCCTATAGAAGAGATCTTTGAGATTTACAGCATGAGACCCTCAGCAACTCACTGACAGAGCTCTGCAAAAGTGAGTGATTTGTTTTTTCAGCACATCTGTAAAAGTGAAGCTATCCAATAATATCTGTGCCTTTCAAAAATATGCTACATTTTAAACTGAATTAATTAGCCCTTTTACCCCATTAGTAATAGCAAATGAGTTCCAACCTTTTCAGAACAAAAAGCCAAACTGTTCACCACCACCTCCTCTACCTTAGTGTGCCAGGGAGAGGCAAGAAAAGGGCAGTCCAGTTACTGACATCCACGCTAAGATGTAATCCAGCTTCTGCACCTTTGCCATAATGGTTTACAGAAGAGCATTCCCACCACTATTCTCTAATCGCCGCTAGTGTGGAGTGGGGGAAAAGGCTATGCAGGTCTGGGGAGATACTGCCTGCTTCACAAGGGCCTTGCCTCTGTTCAAAGCAAGCTTCTCTAGCAATATCTCTTTAGTCATATAATTGCTCTTTAAAAAAAAAAATAGGAGAGTTATTACAATCTTTAATTCATTACTCAAATCACAAGAAAGTATTGTCTATGGCCCAGCTCCATAATAAAAAAGCATTTGTACTGGAATATATAGATTGTGTTTTTAGTAACATATAATTTATAGATGTTTCCTAAGCAACTATTTCAATTTGATGTGGAATTGTAGTCAGACTATAAGAGATTCTTCACATGTAATTCACAGTGTTTCTGGCGCACTTAACTTTTTTTTTAATCTCAGACATGCTTAGCTGTAATATTAATGACAGACTGACACCCAGTGTCCAGAAAGTGCTAGAGCTCATTCCAGCTCACAGTTACCATGCACCAAAATAGCCTTGGCTGTAACCTCTCTTAGTTGAATTCTTCCGCATCAAGAACTAGAAATGTCACTAGTTTTGATGTAGGGGCATTTCACAATGTCACTTAGAAGGAGGGATCTTCCTCTCTGCTCCTGGGTTAAGTGGGTGGATCAACTGTCCCTCCTTTTGCTGTGAGTGTTACACTCTATATTTTTACAGCCTTGCTTTTTATGGACAGGAATACTTTCTTGAGAGTCCAGCCCAGGATATTTTTAGAAATCTCTGGTTTGAGTGCTTACCATACACTGCAGAGGAGCAACATTTTCTCGGAAGGTTTCCAGCGAGCTATTCATGCTGTTTCCCATGGTTTGCATTTGGGTTTTGGTGGGTTTTCTTTCCTGTGGGAGGAGGAGAGGTGGGCCTTTTTTAGCTTTGGTTTATATTCTGATGTTATGCAAGCAGAGATAAAGAACAGAAATAGTATTTCTGCTCAGCTCGTGTTACTGTCCACTTGCCTAGATCCTGCCCTTTGCAGACTCAGAGATACTTCCTTAACAATCTCAAGGTAGCAAAGTTACAAAATTTTCTAAAGAAGAAGATAAGCCAATGTTATCACACTCTTCAGTTTCTGTTTCAGCCAACAACACTGCTTCATTTTAATCATGCGCTAAAGATTATTCCCACTCTATGAGAAAGGAAAGGAAATGTGTTGATGAGCTGGGAAATTAAGGATACTTTATTTTGCTAGGTCCTAATTAATTTAAGAGGTTAATCTACTGTTTTAAATTAACAGTTACTCTTGGAACTCAGCTTATGCTTCATTAAGAGTCCTAGACTCAAAGAGCTGGAATCCAGCCCATCTGAAAATTCAGTCTCTGTGGATTTTTTTCCCCCACGGAAGTAAACTGATGAAGATTTCCTGCTATCCCTCATCAGTTTTGAAGCCTTGGCTTAAATCTCCTTGAAAATCATGTGCTAGCTTTATTAAGATATAGAGATACTTAGGGAGCACAAGTCACAGCCTTGAGGCAGTTCAGATGGACACTACAAACAGCGCTCATTTATCCACCAGGACTGCTGAAGCACTTATCGTAGCTTCTGCCGACCAGAAGAGTCTTAGTACATAGTTTCTGCAGGCATATGAGTCTATGAGTTGTCGCCCTTTCAGGACCACTGGATTCAACCTTTCAAGATCTCCCTGCATCTATCTGCCATGCTGAGTGGCCCTGAAGTAAAGTGAACATATTTCACCCCAGCTCCTACAAAGCCAGGGCAGGGGAGCACCAGGCAGCAGGACTTGGCCCAGCAGAGTCACCAAGTTACAGCCTACTGAGCTCCAACAGCTGCACATGGAAAGGATGGTGTAAACTTTGGGCTGTGCCTATTCTCTTGGGGGGATGGGGGGGATATAGAGATGTTTTGTCATTGTAGCTAAAAAATGGCATCTAGCTCGGGCTCCTGGAATTCATGACAATTTCAAAAGGTGCATTTTTCTCAAGTAGAGGTAAACAGGATTACATGTTTCCAGTAGAATAAGCCTTTATGTCTGTCAATTATTTGCTTGCTTTTAAGCTTGGACTAATAGTAATTTTAAGTTTTGCAAAGGTCAGTTATGCCACCGGCCAATGAGAGCCACCTACAGCTTACCTGTTTCTTTCCCAAGTGCAGCAAAAATGAGAGTAACTTGAGGAGCATTAAAGAATTTGAAGCCAGAACCTCTTACCTCCAAGCAAGTATCGCAAGTGGGCTCATGCAGTAGGTCTGTAAACCAGCCTGGTGGCTTAGGGTGCCTGGTGGCACTCTAAGCCCAAGATGATATGAGGATCTCTCTCTCCCCTGAGGCATCAAGTACCAGACACCAACAGCACATCAAAAGCAAGGCCCTCATTCAGCAAGGAGAGATAAAAAGGACTGCAATCAACTGGACACACTGACCAGAGGAAAGCAACACCGTGACAAAGTAGGTCTGGAGAATTCACACGAGCCAGTAAAACAGTTTTTGCAATGCAACACCAAATGTCCCAGTCTTGTCTGCCCTTCTCAGCTCTCCTTTAGCATGAGATGTTTCCTAATAACACTAGAGTGTCAATTCTAAATTGGATTACATGACATTGGCAGGAGGTGTCACTCGTGAGCTGGCTTGTCAACTCCAGTTACATACACATGGAAAGCATTCTGCTGCCTAATATCTCTGAAAAAAACCCAAAACATTTACTACCATTACTTTTAGGTTAAAAGAAAAGAAAGCTTATTTTAAAAGAAGCTAACAAAAACCCTGACTCCATGAAGAGCCCAGTAATGTCAGATTAGCCCAGAATGTTCATGAAATAGGTTCTGCCTTTCTATTTGTCCATGATTTGCTAAAGCCTTTTGTTTACCACGGCTCCACTAAGCAACAGAGCTAAGAAAACACTCTAGCAGCAGTGCTGGATTTGCTGAACTAGAGTAAGGGAGCACCCCCACAGCCCTGAGTTCAACGTGCATCACATGCCACACAGCAGGAGGGAAGCTGATCTGCCCTGCAGTCCCCATCTCTCCTGAAGGATTCAGTCCTGCCTGCTGTGCTTGCGCTTATTAACATTTGCATCCTGCAGGGAGCTACAGAAGCAAAACAAGGAATCCCTCCAAGGAAGCCTGGAACAAACTCAGAAGTGTTTGAGCAAATGAAGCAAATGAAGCAAAGACACAACAAAGACCTAGACTTCATGTACTTCACTTAGTTGTAGGTGAGCTAACCAATGTCTTCTACCATAGCTTTACAATACATTTGCAACCTGTGTTTTAGTTGGGTTTTTTTTTGTTGTTGTTTTGTTTGTTTGTTTGTTTTAAATCTTCACAGCCATTCCTTCCTTTCCACCCTCATATCTTGCATCTCAGACATCCATTCCTCTTCTATTAGCCACTTCTCTCCTGCTTCCTCCTGCCAGTATGTTGGAGCTTACATTCTCCCAGTGCATCCCTACTGCTCCTCAAGGCAAAGGCATTATGCTACTTGTACAGAGACAATGAGCGGGTGCAGTGCTTCAGAGTCAGGGAATACACTTTCCCTTTTCCACAGTGCTTTGCCACTCCCACACATGATCCAGCATTGGGCAGGATGATGTGGCCTGCGCCTCTCAGCTCTCCCCTTTAACCATCCTGCTTTCTTATGTTGGTAAAGGGCTCAGCGAAAGAAAAATCATCTCCCTGCAGTGCCAAGTAGCTCTGAAGTCTATCTTCCAATCCCCATATTTACGTCTCTAATGGTTTACCTCATATGTCTATGTTGTGCTGCATAACAATACTCCCCATGCCCTAGATGGGCTGTCACTAATCACAGCTCAATATATTCACTAATTACAAATTAACTGGTGAGTCTCCACTGAAACAAATTCAGTAGAACCATAGGCAACAGCCAGTGACAGGACCTGAGCAAATTTCATCCCAACTCAAACAGCATCAGTCTGACCCCTTAAAAGCCAAATCAGAGAGAAACTGTATTTTGAAATGAGGTCATTTCAAGAGGGGAGGAGGGGATATTGCTGCTGAACCCATGAGAGAGCAATGGTGAGGGAGTGGTTAAGATTAAACAGCTAGAGAGATTAACATCTCATGACTGTTTTTTGTTCACTGACCTGTAATAAAATAAACAGTAAGACTAACAAATAGGTGATTAGCCTTGTTATTCCAGTGCTGTTTACACTGTTAGACTACTGCCATGGTCTTCACTTTTCTTTGGCTAATACTTTGTGTTTTTATAGATAAGACTAGTGAAATTAAGAGGAAAACAACCAAAATCTTATTATATTATGTTATACTTACTATATTGTTACTTACCTATGCTGATAAGCATAAACCCAGTGTTTTATTTTCAGAATGCAAGTACCTACCCTTTTGGTACTCCCTCTTCTGTTGGCTGGTTAGCACCTGATTGTCTGCACACAAAAATCAAGCCCAGCACATCATATGGTTTGCTGCTCACATATTCAGACAGCCAGAACTAGAGAGCTGAAAGGTGCTTGTGCGTGCACCAGAGGATTGATGAATCATAGCCTTCTGCTGCCTTGACTGGAAATTCCTCCTTTCCTGAGCTATATTGTCTCCAGAATGAAGAAAGAAAGGTCTTTCAGTGACCAAATCAATTAGTCAGAACAACTTCAAAGTCTTTCTTCAGCTATGCAGAAAGCAATGGACAGAGCTCAGATGCAATGCAGAGTCATGAATTTTTTTCTACAGGACCCAGAAGAGATCTCTGATCATATGTGCATCCTATGCATACATTTGGTGCCTACCATTGCACTGCAAAACTACCTATAGTGGGAAAGCTAAGAGACCATTCTGGTTCTGTTCTTCCTAAGCACCTGAAATCATGGAAAAGGGGCAAGTGGGGAATTGAACAGACATTATCTACTTTTTCTCCTGTAATTTAAAAGGAAAATTGTACAATTCACAATTCATTGCCCAGTTTATAACACTGAAATCAGATGGTTTCAACTAACACATTTGACTGGACAACACAGCAGCTGAGGTACAGCTTTATCGTCTGCTGTACCAGAGATTCTTACTTCTTAAATTGCGCCACACAAGTTTGTGAGTCAGAGCCTTTACACCACAGCCAGAGTTACTAGAGCCCTGCCCATGCAAGCAAGCACAAATTTTTGCTATAGTAATATTAAGACAAGTCACTACTGATTCTCTAGCTAGTCTGAAAATTCTCACTTACTATGGTGAAGAGCTTTTTCCTAGCCAAATGTCATGTGGAAACATCTAGCATCCATCATGGAAAAGCAAATTATTTTTTCTCCCCCAGACTGGTTTATCTGTTGGACAAAAATATAACCAATCTGTTCTGAAAAGCATCAATTTTGTCAGGTTGGAAAGTAATGTAAGTCCACAGGACTATGTATCTTCAAGGCAGCTGGCAGCAACAACAATTACTAAAGCCATGAGAAAATCAGTTTTGTTCCATCTCTCTAAAACACTGTTAAAGATGCTGGCTTCACAAAGGGAGTCATGGTTGAAAGGGTGCTTAGCAATCCTCAAAACAGAAACTAGCCCAGACAGGCTGTTATGGAGGTGATCTGCCAGGTAGTTCCACACAGGTATTTCCACCAGCAGTGCTAAACCCACCATCCATTTAAGTGAAGCAAGTGCGTGGTGTGGTGTGGTTGCCAAAGGCATCCAGGGCTAGATTTCATGGCCTTTCCTAGGGACTTGCCAGCAGACAAATATCAAGTCCTGAACAGCATACTTACAGTAACAGCAGCAAATCAGGCAAGCAAACATCATGACAAGGAAATCCAGCCGGATGAAGGCAGGTGATCTGAGGTAACACAGTATGGAACAAAAGGGCTGAATATACTAAAGAGGACAGAAGGGTATCTAACCTGTTTGGAAATGGCGAGGGCACATTAGCCCCTGTCATTTAATATGGATACAGTTACAAAAAAACATCAGTGAAGTGGTTTGTGATGGAAGGCTGTGAAGGTTTCATATTTCTCCCATCAAATTCCCCAGAAGACACTCTTGTCATACAGCACTGAAAGCACTTTTCTTTGGCCTGAAACCTAAGCAAAGCTGCGCTCCACTAAGTCTCCCAAACTGTGCCCTGCCCTCCATCCTTACAGCCACAAACACTCCTTTGTTCCATTGGAGGTGCAGGCTATGTAGTTGAAAATAGAGATATTCTAAGTAAATTGGATCTACAAAGGTGTTCATCTGTGTGCCAAGTTACTAATGGATCATGTTGACAAGGTGTTCACATGCTTGAATGAGTTCCTCCAAATATGTAAGACTATAAATCTAGTTTTGGAGTGCAGCAGTTTGTTTTGATCGGAAGCCTAATCTACTGGTGATATAAGTCACTTTTATAACCATCATTGCATATTCCACGAAGCAGTTTGGTTTTCAAAGTCTAAGATTTAGGTGCAAGAAAATGATAATCGGAACAGAACAAGATTTATTACAAACCTGCACCAAACAGGGAAAAAACAGAGGAAAAGTTTCAAAATGGAGAAACGGAGGAATATAGTTTTTTCTAGCCTACTAGCTGTGCTTTAGTGTTAAAGCACTCTGCTTTAGCATTAAACAGAAATTCTTCTGAGTTCCAGATAGACAGCAACTGGAGTTTAATGCTGTTTTCTCCCTCTAAATTTTTCAAACATACTTTCAAAGGGAAAACACTGAACCAAGTGACCTAAACTGATTTACAATGTTAGTTAATAATTCAGATACACTGATAAACATCTAGTAAGAACCACTTGATTTCAATTTTTATAGTCTTCTGGGATGCTATAATTAATCACACACCAGGAAGAGACTGAGACTTTTAATCACTACTTCCTCCTCACACGTCTGTGTTAAAATCTGTACACAATAGAAAGGATTAGTGGGCAAAGGCTAACAACACCACGTGAGATGGAGACTTTTCCTGTCTCCAGGATAATGTGTGTGAAAAAGTATTGAAATTGAAGCAAAGTTTATCTGGTGTTACAAAAGGAAAGTTTGCCATGGGATAAGTTTGGACAAGTGGCAATCAGCACAGGGTGGAGAAGGAGAGGAACAGACCTACACCAGAAGCTTCTCAGGTCTGCTGAGTTTGAGAGCTTCCAGGCAAAAGAGGTTCTATAAAGAACCATTTTTATATACTCATACCTGTACCTGTCTCACATTAGGTCAGATGGACTGCATGAAACAGTTAACAGCAGCCCAAAGTGTAGTCTACCCCACAGTTACATGGTAACTCAACTTGCACACAGAATCAGCAATTGCGGCGTAAAACACAGAAAAAATAAGAGTCCCCCATGGGAAATGCAGTAAACATCATAACTACAATAAAGACAGAATGTGAGAAATTCCCACAACTTAGAATGGTTTCTTTTGTGTTACCTTTTTCAGATGGGACATTAGAACTCTGGTATGTAAAAGCAAACACAATGTCTGCTCACTTCTCAACAAACTTGAGAAAGTTCTCAACTTTCATCTCAGCAAATTTTCAGAAGATGAAAAGAGAAGTGGAAAACTCAGTATGCCAGTGCCCTGCTCTGACACAGACACCAGGAGGCTTTGCAAATGTTTCTATTGCAGATCATCTTTTTATGAAGATAAGAACTTCTGGGCCACTGCTGTGACCACCTTGACCTACAGCCCTCTGTGAAACAATGCAATTCCTTTAAGGCAAATAAAAAAGGCTGCTAGAGTATTTATGAGTGCCCAGTTACTCAGAACACCATTACCTTTCAAAAAGGAAGAATCATCCTGACCTCCAGAAGTAGTTCAGTGTCTGCAATTCCATCAGGTCTTGCCATGTAATACTACAAGTGAGCTCTGCTTAGCAGCACACTACAGTTTAAGAAAGTGGGTATAATTTATCCCTTAAGATTATAGTTACACAGTCTCTCCAAGCAACTTTAGAGACAGGCAAAGTTCAGTAATGTGATACAAAGTTTCACTAAAGATGAAGGAAATAATCTTTTTTAATATCAAAGCTATTTCCAGGGCCTTTTCATAACTTGAGGCTACTAAAAGAAACTGGAGTGACTGTTCCTAGGTAAAGAATCTCTTTACATCACTAGGGAAAGGCTGGCAGGGCTAGCTGATATAAACTTCTGCTGTGGGCTGATGTATGCAACTTGCTTATGACCATACTTATGACCATTGTTATTATACAATGATACTTGAACATGTTAAATCAGATTTGCAACAGGTAAAGTTTTCCTAACATAAAAGCTGTGTTGGTTAAAGTCAGGCAAAGAATTAATACTTGCCAAGATACTTCTCTCATTATTTAGATATCCTTTCAGTATGAGCCATAGCAGCAGGAATGTCTTTTAGTAGCATAATTCTGAAAAGGCCACATTTTTCAGGCCTGGTCATGAGTAAGTGCCACACATCATCCCCAGATCACATGAAGACATTTGCTGCTATTGTCTTCATACAGAGTCCTTATAAATTGCATTTCTTCAAATCATAAAGCATCTTCCATTTACTTGCTATCACATGTGTGATCATACCCATTTGTTGGCACACCTGAGCTCTTCCCTATGGGTAAGAATTAAACCTTTTCCATTAGTTTCAGCAGAGTGAATCTTTTTGCAATCCCATCTCCAGAACAGAACACGATTTCTCAGAAATATACATAGAAGCTGGCAGTGCTCCCTTTCCTGTATGTCTGTCTTGTTTAGTAATGTTAAATTCAATTAAACTTCTGTCTTTCTGTATTTTTGCTTTTTGTCACTGCGGAATTCTATTTCCCACAATATTTTGCTCTATAAAAAAGAAAAGACCCAAGGTCAAATGTTGGGTCTTACTGATATTTGTCCCAGGCTATGTCCATCTCCCTGAGATCTGCTCCTTCAATGGCTGAGGTAGCTCTTAATTCTTGTATGAAATGTCTAAATTCAGGGCAGACTGTATTTATTGAAACCTTGGGAACAGAAAAGAATTCTTGACTGTGGTGCAGTAAATGCCAAAAATTGTCTCTTTACAGAAGCTGGCTGACACACACTGAGTTACTGCCCTCATACTAAATAAACAGTGAATGCATTCCAAAATCTTGGTTCAAACAAATCTTTTTTCAGTACTACAAACAAATTAAAGTTGTGCAGTCCAGAGGGACATCTGATTTCTTTAGCATTTTCAGGAAGGAGGAGGAATAGGTTTAAAATATATTCACAATCAGCCAGTTGTTCATGATAAGTTAAGGCATGACAAGTTACATAAGTGTTAAAGGCCCAACTGCATATTGCTGATAAGTGTACACTTACCATACCCTGGTAAGTGAAGGGAAATATCTGATTCTGTCATCTAAATTCTCTATTTTCACAAGTTTTCAATCTAGGAATGGATCCCATCTCCATACTTACCAGGGATACCACTGTTTTTCAGCAAAGTTCTGAAGGCTTTTGGAAAGAGAACACAGTACAGAGAGCACAGAACAACTAGGACAGAACAACACAGAACAACTCTGTAACCTTATCTAGTATAGATTTCATTTTAAATCACTTCATCTTGGCTTGAAATGGTAGGCTTTGATTTTGTTTTGCCTAGCAAACGTTCTGATAATGGAGTCCTTGAATAAAACCAAGCAACTTTTACAGCAGTTGAGTAGACTGCTTAAAACGCACATCTCTCCTTCCTAATGTCAGAGACCTCATTTAGCCATTATTTCATACTCACATGACCCAACAGCAACAGCCTGCTAGTGATCCTCACCAGCCTTTCCCTGACAACACTGGAGAGGAAAATAGAACTATACTTTGCCCTTCTTGTCCTTTCTTTTGTACATGGGACACTACCTCTGCCCTCCTGCCTGTCCTTCACTGCATGAAGTAGGCTGTTCAGCTACTGCAAATACTTGGTGTACATAAAAACACTATGCTTCAGACAGAGGGAAATGGAGCATGAACAACTTGGCTCTCAGGGCAAAGGTGTGAAAAAGCATGTTTCCTCTTGTTCACAAACCCCTAATATTGTGCATTCATAGGAACTGCACAGTGTAAGGAATCTGTGTGTTAGCATGTCAGCTAACCCAAGTTTGCAAAACAACACAGCAGTTATGGTACAGTATCTGCTTGTCTGCTTAGAACAGGAAATAAAAATATTTCATTTGTCTTCAGCAGGAATAAAATAAAGGAAGAAGAGACCGGTTCCCCAGACATCAATTAGCATACGCCTACTTATTGCAACAAAGTATCTGGTTCAATTAGTGCAGTTGAGAACCTCTGCTTGTAGTGATGTGTAGATTACATGCTGGAATTCCTCTGGCAAAAGGCAAGAACCAACAAAATAACTATTCAGAGATCAGAGTGATAAATAGGGTGCCTGGATTCTAGATTCTGCCACAGCCTAGAGCTTAGGGGTGGCTAAACTTCTCCAAAGTTTTCCACCTGAGACAAGGAGGGTGGCAATTCCTAGTTTTAAGGACCACTGAAAGGCTGCACTTGCTTTTGTTTGCAAATGTTCAGAGAATCTCAAGGAGACATTATGAACAAGTTTTCACTAGCAAGTAATCTAGGCTCCTGCAGCTTGCTTTAAGGTTGGTAGCAGGCACCACAGCTGCTGGCATGCAAGCTGTATTTCTTTACAAAAACACCGCTATTTTCAGATTACTGCTATGCTAGAGTTTTCCTGAGGTGCAAAAGCAGTCAATCTCCATGTAAAAGCAGCTGTCATAACTGTGTACTGACTGAGGGCACCTGCAACAGATGGAAAAAGATATTCTGGCTCCAGAGGTTAAGATCAACCCACAGCCCTTCCTGCAGTGCTCAGTTCATCTGTGGCATAGGGTCCTCGGAACAGGATTCAAGAAGTTGGATGAATACTTAGAAGACAAATCCACTGCGAGTTTTTAAAAAGAGAGAACAAACCTCCTGCTCAGAAAATCTCTTGAGCTAAAACAGCTTGAGGTTCTGAAATTTGAATGAAATGTCATGTATATTTGCTTCATATCTACCCTTCCCTCAGTGCCTACTCCTAGAAGTTACTTGTTTGGATGTAGTATCTAACCCATGATGGCTGCTCTCCACTTGTTCCAGTCAGGAATATACATGCACCTGCTCTACTCAAGTTCAAGATCTCTCAAGTTCCAAACTTCATTACCAAGTCCAGTGCCCACTGTATTCATCTGTAAGGACCATGTGGCATCCAAAAGACAAACCTGCTCCACAAAGCAAGCATAATCACAGAACCAAAAATAGTGTAACTCTTCTGAGCCTGACAAAGATCTTTGACAAATACAAGCACAGGCCTGCACATAGAAGTTGTTCCTGTAAGTGAATTCATATTACTTAGCATTAACCATGAGGAAGAAGGTTTTTTTGATACAAAGACAGCATACGTGTATTCAGAAACAAATGCTAGACTCAAAGCACACTCTTCCCTCAGTCTGCGTTCAATGTTAAAGGGTACAACTTCCTGGCTGACGAAGCACCCCCAAGAGAGGCTGACAATAGTGATATCATTTACAGCAGCCATTTGAATCACTAGAATCACAGAACTAGAGCTGTGTAATAACAGGGTAGCTAAAGATTTGTCCCTGAAGTTTTGCAGTTTCATGAAATCACCATACAAGACTCATAGTGAAACACACATGCAAGAAAGCCTAAAACAAGTAGCATTTTGATTGAAAAAGAAGACAGTGAACAAAAAGACCCAAAATACCTTCATGCAGTATGAGTAAGAAACATGAAAATACCCTGCACATTAATAAAATTTGTGAAGTTTAGTTCAAAGGTGGGTGTGGAAGGAGATAAAAGGAAGGCAAATATGACAGAAAAGGTGTCACAGACCCATGCAAAAATAGCAAACATAAAAACAGCTGAGTGAATGGAACAAACAGCCTAGCATGGGTATAGCTTCTTGTAGGCAAGTACATTTGCAAACATCTTCAGTTGGTCTACCAACAAAAGATGCAGAGAGGAAACCTCAAGTGGTTGTTTTATTATCTATCTCTAATAGTTTTACTGAAGAAATCTTATAGTGTGATTGACAGATTTCAAATACTAAAACAGTTACACATAAAAAATACTTTGGTTGTGTTTTCTGTCTGGCTAATTTCCCTTTTAGTTTTTCAACTTCTGAGAGAGACCTAAAGTTTATACCATCTTATATTTTTAAGATGTCTGGAAAATAAGTTTAAATAACCTATAACAAACAAATGTGAGGAATATCACCAAACAATACCACTGAATGTAATATTTCTAACTTGATTTTACTGCTGCTAAGACTGGCAGTCCAGCAGACCTAAAGTGCTCAGTGGGCTTACTTGGGTTGGACAGAAGAGTCTTGTTTTTTTCCAGTATGATTAAGAGATGTGAAAGCTTCAGCATGATTCAGATATAGCGGAATTATTCCTTCCTTTGTCTGTCTTTTACATT